GGTGACGCCAAAGGCGGGGCGGGGAGGGAACAGCGAAGCCTCCTGAAGCGCCGACGCCCGAGGAAGGGGCGCGATGAAAAGCGAAAGAGGTCTGGCAACCTAAAACAGAGACGGCGCAGTTAGGTCCCCTTTTCCAATGCTCTTTTTACTTTCTCGCCTTGCTACGTTTACGCACTAATGAGATGATATTGCGGCGAAAATCGGCGACGTTTTGACAGAAAACTTATATTCGGGCCCTGATGAAAAAGAGAATAAATCTTGTTCCTATGTTAGAAAATGACTTCTGTACACATCTAACACACTGTACACAGAATCCACGTTTTGTGAGTCCTGAATACTGAAAAATCTTTGACGACAAAACGTCTGACTGGTCTCGATGGTCAACGCTAGCGCCGAAAAGGCGATTTTCTCGAAATTTGATAAATTGATCCATCTGAACGAATCCGATCCATCTGAACGAACTCGAGGTCCTGCGAGTTTCTAACGGATCTCGGTAATACTTGGAGCTTTGGTAACCAGAATACCGTGATTTCCATATTGTTAATTTATCTTCCACACACAACTAATTAATTCTTTGAGACATGGACGAATCCAGAGACTTTGTGGGAGGGAGGAGAAAACTTTATATATACCGATGAATGTATATAATATAAATGTCTCTCTATATTAATATTTAATTAATTAATATTGACATTTCTACTTTCCGCTTGGGCACGCTAACGAAACTCACATGATATTAATCTATAAATATTTCTGTAATTGTTTTTTTCTGTGTTGGTCATAAATTTACCATATAGTGAAATATTTATTATATTGATTCTCTTACCATTTATTTGTGGGTATCGACATACAACATGCCCGTTGAATGCGAACGTGCTATCTGTACACAATTGCGATCTCTGGAAGTTCTCTTAATTACTTAACTTTTTGAGGGCAACTAATTATATATTATTAGTCTTGTTTCAGTGAAATAAATTGACATTTATTTAACAATTTGATTTACACCATTAAATGAGCTCATTAATTAATAAGAATGTTATTTATCTTTTGCAAATAAATCATCGTTTCTGTACAGGTAAAAATCAAAGTTCGTGACTTACTGAGGCCTTCGCGCGCATCGGTCACTTCTCGGTTGCACTCCGGTAGGAACGTTCACCACATCTCCTCTCTTGATGTTGTCTCTTGATCTATATCTATGTGATGGTGTTATTACTGCCCCGCCTACCGTATTCTCTCCCAATGTCAAATTCTTCTTAAAATGTCAAAATGGATAATGTTAGTTCGACAAATAATTGTACTTAAATATCACGCGGTCGAAATCTTTCCCTAATCTGTACCACGCATGAGCATCAATTTCCGACTTCGTCCAACACGGATTGTTGAATACAAGATTGAGTTGAACTGAATTGAATTGAATTGATGCCTTATTGAGACTGAGACTATGAGGCCTGCTCTTCCGTCCGACCACGCAAATTTCGTTTCGCTCCTTTCACACATTAGAAGAGAAAGACGATATTTCTAGGACAACGAAACAGGCGACTTGAATGTAGCTCAGAGGCTTTATTTAGACTTGAGGATCTTTTACATGCAATAAACCTACTAACATGGGACAGACGGTTTTTCTTCCCCTCCGAAGGAAGGCGTACATGAAACGTCAACGATTATTGCCTATCCTAAATTTCGCTCTGAATATAAAATCTATTTCAAATTTCAATTGACGTTTAAAAGTACTTTAAGTATCTTTACTGATATTCAAACTCTGAAAATATCGAACCCAATTCTATATTACACTTCCCTCCAAATGAAATAATATTCACGATCCTAACTCTGCGCGACCTAACAGATGGCGATCGTACAGTATCAGCCGATGTGCCTTGTTGATGGCGATCGAAAGAGATTGAATGCTAAAAATGTCACCTTACTATGCCTCACTACGCCTCCAACATTTTTTTTCAAATGTAACTACACATACTATTTGGTCTATCATGAGCGTAAAAAGACAAATCCAATGATATACATATTGCCATGTTAGGTAAGATTTTTTTTGAATAATTTTTATTTTTTTGAGACGAATGTTTAACGGATAATTTGAAAGTAACAGTCCGTCACACAAGATCAAGCAGCGCTCCTCCTGCTTGCGAGCGCACGAGGAAAGGAAGGGATATTAGTATTTGAAGATTCGAAACATATTCCGAATATGCACAAAACTGTTCAAGATCCCATAGTAAATTACATTACACCAATTAGTGGAAGGAGCAAAAGAAATGGGATTGGTAATAAATGAGGACAAAACAAAATATATAAAAACTAGAAAAAAGTCATCAGAAATTAAAATGTGTCAATTTAGATGGACAAAATATAGAATGGGTAAATGCCACTGAGTATTTATGTTCCAATATTTCTGAAAATAATGAAGTAGAAAGGGATATTAAAAGGTGAGTAACGGTGGGCAATAGATATTATGGCAACCTTACAAAATTTTTAAGACAAGAAGAATCTCCAAGGCCGCTAAGTTTAATTGTACTCTCATCAAACCGGTGGTATTGTGTGGTTCTGAAGCTTGGATCCTCACGGGGAAAATGGAAAATAACCTGGCAATCTGTGGAAGGAAAATCTTACGTAGAATATTAGGACCGGTTAAAAAAATGATCTCTGGAGGAGGATGCAGAGTTGAACGAACTACCTAAGATAGTTGCTTGCATCATCAAGATAAGTTTGGAATGGATTGGACATATAATAAGAATGAAGGAAGAGTGGGCAGCAAAGATTAAATATGTAGGAAGCATGGCCGGTAAGAGGAATAGAGGCAGGTCGGGGTTAAGATGGAATGATGAGGTGGAAGATCTGAGGACCATAAGAGGGAATAGATGGAGATGAAAAGAAGAAGACCGAAGAGATTGGGCTACCGTAACAAAAGAAGCCATGGCCAAACTAGTGCTGGAGAGCTGACAGAAGAAGAAGAATATTGCCAGGCTGCATTTCTTATTACGCGATAACATCTTAGGGGTTGTAATGGAGACAAATATACGTTTGAACGGAAAATTTGTATCCTTATACGTATGACACTCTTATAAAAATTAATTCCAGTGCTGATAGTATCTAACCTAAGTTTACTAACCTAAAAATACTTCAAAATGAGAAGGTTGTTTGCCTCACTTTCTTCAGGATAAACAAATATTGATTTTAATCTTCAATAATTTGTATTCTTTGTATCAGAGTTCCATAAAATCAAAAGTTTATTTTATACTGATTGTTCGCCGTCCAACGCTGGTTCGACTGTGCCTTTCAAGGGAGATTACATATATTATAACCAGTCCTTTCGTCGCAACAAAAGGAGAACTCAGCTGTGAGCTACAGTGACGTCTCCTGACAACTACATTGTGAATACAGAATTAAGCAACAAAGAACCAACATACAGCAAAGAAACTAACCTCAATCCTTTAGAAAAGGAGAACTCAGCAATGACATTATTAAATTGTTAACGCTGTCATTGTACCCAGCTTCTCAATTATAATACGAATGGTCATAAATATGGGATCATACTCTTCAATTTTGATTAAATGACTAAAACAGGCAAATATATCAACGTATTATATTCTTGAAATATGTATACGGCTTGAAATATGCAGGAAAAAATGTTCGGAAAATTTGGAAACATGCAAACTTTCCATCAATCACAAAGAACTGTCATGTAAATCACAATATGAGAGAAATAACAGATAAATGTTATACTTTTCGGAATGTAGAAATAATTACATGATTAAAAACAAGAGCCTACATGAAATACAATTAGAGGCTGTTAATGTGAAGGTGAATTTATTTTTAATCGCCCGATTAAGCAAAAGGTAAATGTTTGTGGAATGGATCGTGTTGTGGACTATTGCGAATCCCTCCGTAACTGGTGCATACGACGCAATCGAAGCTTGAGGAAGAGTGGGGGTACTGGGAGTTGGGTGGGGGCAGCGGTCTGCTATTAGGGTTTTGTTCGACAGAGACCACGGCTATTAACCAAGCTAAGAACACCGCTGGATTTTTTTAAATCTCTTATTTTAACGTGAGCAATATTGTATCTTTCGTTATCAAAGTACAAATTGTCTTAGGCAAGGATTAAAATCCCGAAACGTGCAAATCGGTGTACTCTACATGCAATAGTTTTCTTCATTCAATAAATATTTTGAAGAGGTAAAATGTATGTGATAGTTCGGACCTACATACCTCCCCTCCTAATTCGCAACCACCATCCGCCCCTGATCCAGTCTGAAAATAATTCGTCAGTAGAATATTCAAAAATCGCTCATTCCTTTCGAAACACCCATGGCTACTTTCAATGAATACTTTTATCATTAAATCACTCTCTGAAGTTCATAATCGATCACTGATATTATTATACTCTGAAATCTCTTGCAATGTCGTGGGGGTCGTCCATAAATTATGTAACGCAAAAGAGGAGAAGGGGGTTTGAGACAGCGTTATGCTGCGTTACATAGTGTGATAAGCCCGAAAACCCGGATTTTATTTGAATGGGTAAAACGGCATCAAGTGGGTGTAATACGACACAATTGTATTCAGGCTTGGGAACCAAAGAATATACGTTGTTATGGCAACCAATAAACAAAGTGTAGTATTCCTTGTTTGGAGTCATAGCGCTGTTCATTTGGGGAAACACGGCCCCGGAGATATCACATGCGAAAGGTATGAAGATGACATTGAAAGCCGTGATTCTGTGGTAAGAAAAAAAATAATCACTCTCTCAAAATTTACCGAGCTGAACACACGTAAGCAATCGGTGCGGTGCAAATATTTTTCAGCATAAACTAGGGTATTAATTACACGATAGTGAGGTGGGTAACTTATGATTGGTTTTTAAATCTTGGCATTATGCAGAGTACGAAGTCAAAGGTGTTATTCGCTTGAATTTTTAATTTTTGTTAATGTAATTTGGAATTTGAATTCAAATATACTCCGTTTTTTGAAGGGATTTATATAAGAATAGCTCCGCAGGTGGGGAGGAATTTTTAATGAGTCGGATGAAGGTAGACAGTTGCGCGCAGGTGTTTCATCCGAAGCACAGCCAGGGAAAGTTGCGTCCGCGTTTTAATTAAATAGAAAAGTACTGAATTCTACAAAGCATCATATAGTTGAAGATATTCCTGGAAAATTTGTAATATTTTCTAACGATAGGCAAGAGCGCGATAATAGGGATATCCAAGACATTCCATGGACAGCATCGAGAAGGACATCTTAGAAGTCATCGCAGTAAGCTTACGAACTTGATTCATCACCATACGATACTTTAAGTGTTGGTACAGAGGAAAAGTCAGTGGCGTAAATTCAACAGAGGAGGCCCCTGGACCGACATTATACGGGGTCCCCTAATTAAAAACGTGCCATTAATTCAATTTTGTGACTGTAAACTGAATTTTAGGAGTGAGAAGATTAATTACAATGAACTATTAGAGAAAATAAATTGACGTTTTTTTTTCAATTTCAAGATATAATTTAAAATTTAAATTTTGGACTTTTCTTCGCATTCAAGAATTTGTCAACAACAGTAGAAATATTATTTTTCAACCAGATCGTTTTTTACATGCTCAATTGACAAAATAGTTAATTATTCTGACAGTTTTGTACTACTGTATTTCGTAAATAGTTTTATATCAGCTTTAATTTTGAACACCTTTCGGCACTGACAAGCGTGACAGGAAGTGTCGAAAATAATGTGAATATTGTACGCACATAGGGAAAAGTTGTTAATAATGTGTAGTGTTTAGTTACTAATGCGTTTGCAAGATCTTTAACAGATGTTAGTTTTAAAATTTGTCTTTTTAAACAAATGCGCAAAGACATTAACTGAAACAAGTTTTCTGTAACATCTGCAAGGTGTTGATTGCCGTTTTTGAGCTTCTTCATAAATTCTATCGTCCAAAAGAGCTATCAAAACTTGTGGCTGAATCATTTTTAAAATTGCCACTGTCTTTTTCAATTCCACAAATCGTCGCTCCAACTGGTTAACAGTTATATGTAACCGTAGTAAATTCCATTTCGTTTTTCATGTTACAAGCTTTAATCGTTTCAGACATTTTGTTAGGAAATGTAATTGTTGTTAAAGCTTGAAAAATATTAAAATATATATCTATTAAGAAATCGTTCCGTGATGACTATCTTGCATGTCAAAATCGTTTTAATGTAAGATTATTTTGCTTTTCATCTGAATCTCATAGTATGTTCCACCGATTAATGCTATAACCAAAGAATTTAACATAATTCCCTTCTAGTAAAGAGTAAATTATCTGAACTTCTAATATCATGGCACCAACAACCATAAGATTGAAAATATGAGCAGCACAGTGCACAAACAATGTATGTCAACTTCATCTATTTATTTCTAAACATCTTGTAAATTCCTCCTCTATAACTGCTGCGCCATTATTTCCTTGACCTGTACATTTAGATAAATCAATGTCTTGTTCTTTTTGTATTCTCTTGATAATAACAAACTGCAACCCACCCACTTCCCATGGTGATTGTTCGAATTTCTTAAATCCTATGAAATATTCATTCATTTTTATTTTAACCAGTGTGCCGGATTAATTAATGGGATAATCACTATATTTTTTATCGTTCCTTGATACGTACGAGAAGAAAAACTTAAAGAAAAAAATTGAAGCGATTTTTGAGAAAAATGTTTTTAAAAAAATTCCCACATTTCACGCAAAATTGCGCTTCATGTAAAGTAGCCTCAAAAATCTAAATATCCTGTTAAACTTCAAAAGCCTCGGGTTCGTTCAGATTGATCGGGGAATATCAATTTTGGAGAAATCCGATGAACGGTTTAGGTGCTAGCGCCACAAATGGACTGACTGACGGATGGACGGACAGACAGACAGTCAAACAGACAGACAGACGTTTTGTCGTAATCGATATCAAGGACCCACAAAACATGGATTCTGGCCACACAACGTGTTAGAGGAAATAATTTACTATATAGCAATAGAATTTAACCTTTTTTCCGACGATAAGTTTTTCTGACGAAAATTCGCCGGCGCACGATTAGGTAATTTTCTTTTCTTGCAAAGTAAGTGTGAAAAAGTAAAAACACTGCACTCAATTTATTTCGGCACATCGACCTGTCAGTCCCTATGGAACTTTCGTTGCTGGGAAAGCTAATAATTTCATTCATGAACTCAATAGAATATTGTAAGGAAGTCAGAATAAATGTTAAATTTTATTATTGGGAAAATAAAAGGCTGATAATTTATAGTAGTTGTCATCAATTCAATTAGTTTTACTCCACAGAACTCCTAGGAATCCCAGTTCTGTAATACACGTCCGTATATAGCAGGTAAGGAGAAAAAAGTTGTATGTCGAAACCCATGATTAAATTTAAAAGTGAAATTAAAATAATAATATTTTAACATTGAAAAACATTATGATCCTAGCAGGGCAACGAAAGAAGTAATAATATTGATAATAGCAGAAGAAGTAATCCCTTCATAATATCCATAAAATTGTTTGTAAATAGTATCAAGATTTTTTAATATTAATAGTAGTAGAAGAAGAAGGTATATCACAATAGGGGAAGGGGGGTTAGAGTTTAGTGTTACGTAATGCCAATATTTATGTTTACAAATTTTCTACATTTGCTGAGACAGTTCCTTTTATTCAGTCTTCTCCTAAAACATTATCATATTAATAAATTAAATTAAAAATATAATAAATTAAAAAAGTTATGATGCACAAATTGTTACAATACATGGAAATATTTTTTCAATAATGTGTTGATTGAATCTCTTACATTACGAAGAAAATTTTCAAAACTGATGTATTATATTCTCTAGAATTCAATTTAATTGTCTTAGTAGACTCGGGGCCCATCCGTCATCCACGACGGCGTGTGCACGACTTGTTTGAAATTTCCTCGCTTACGCGTCCTTCCTTCAAATATTGTCTACAATCTTATTATGTGCAGTTACCATCGTCAACTAATCCTCACTTTATCATAATTTTTGAATACACAACACAAATACAATATACAATTCGATTCTATTCTATAATTGATTTTTACTTATTGAAATGTGTGTGTGTGTGGGGGGGGGGGGTCAAGAGGATATTCAAAACACTCCAAATTTGACGTTAAGTAATTTGTAAGGAAAAACTTAAACGTTAAATTTACTCATAAATAAAAAGATTACAATGTGCAAACTACGCAAAATGTTATTTGTACACTTGTCATTGCACCTTAAATCATAATCTTTCTTCTTATTTTCATGAAAACATCCCATTGAAACTGAGACAATGTAGGATTAGTTTATAAAAGGCGCCGTCAACTTCACGTTGCTAAACAGTACTGAGCATGCATTTATTTTGAATACAACAATAATAAAACAATGAAGCTTTAAATATTACACATTTGGTTGTTTTTGTTAAGCTGCACCGAAAATGGTGTGCAAATAATATTGAACTGACTTGTGTATTACTACTGAACAGGAAGTCAGCTGTAACCTAAGCAGAGTAGGAGAACTGACTTCCGGCTAGTGTGGGTGGTAAACAGAATTGTATATTCTGCAGGAGTTGTGGCTCGTAGTAACGAGCTAAACTTTTAGGGCAATTTTTAAATGTAAGTACTTTATAGATATAGGTCTTACAAGTGTAGTCATGATAATGTTTTGTATTTTAATGAACGTCAATTGTCGAGTGTGGGAATGACATTTGCAATTTGCTTTGAGACTTGGACATTGATACCACGATTGTGTTTCAGCTCCTTCTGTAGAATAAATGTCAGGAGAAATGACCGAAGATAAGAAGGTAAGACTGATGCCTTTAGGTTTTTTGCTTAATAGTTGCATTGATAGCAAGGAATTCCTAACCTTGTGGCATATATCTTTTAGGATGAAGAGAAGGTGTATGGAGGTTGTGAAGGGCCTGATGCTATGTATGTAAAGCTCATTTCATCAGATGGTCATGAATTTATAGTAAAACGAGAACATGCCTTGACTTCTGGAACGATTAAAGCTATGTTAAGTGGTCCTGGGCAATTTGCTGAGAATGAAACAAATGAAGTTAATTTTAGGGAGATACCGTAAGTAATTTATTACATTTAGTTTCACTAGACATTTCCTTTCTTTGACTTCATTTTATAATGGTTTGCCTCAAAATTATTTAAAACATTGTACAAATTACTTCCTTTGCAGGTCTCATGTTCTACAGAAAGTCTGCATGTATTTTACTTACAAAGTTCGTTACACAAACAGTTCAACTGAAATTCCTGAATTTCCAATTGCTCCAGAAATAGCATTGGAATTGTTGATGGCAGCTAATTTTCTTGACTGTTAATTTTTTGGCATGTATGTTTCTGCAGATCTATTTGTGTGCACGATTGAAATAAATTTGTGGCCAATAATTAGATATCTACTATTGGAGCTGTTCTGTAAGAGTGAGTGATTGTATTTCAGTTATTATTACTTATGTTTGCTCTTCTAATGTTATTCAAAGTTTCTTAATGTGAAGTCGACAGTTCCCGAAAACTGTTTTGACATAGCCCTTTTTGTGTTCATGCTGTAATCTAAATAAAATTTTTTTTGTGAATTTTGTTGTTTTTACCATTTTAATTGTTTGTGTTGCATACCAGGTATTTGGTACTGGATCTTACTCCCTGAGAGATGGATATGGTTACTTGATACTTACAATCTTAACAAATGATTATATGTATTGGAAGAAAGATTTTGCTTTCCATATACACTGGAGATTAACTAGGTTTGCAACAGATTTAGACAGGAACATAAAAACTTAAGTTCATAAAGATAGGTTTAGTGCATAATATTTTGTACTTTTCTAAGTATTTTTTTTTTTTTTATTTAAGTCCTTGTTCCTGCAATCCTACTGTATTACTTTTCATTTGTGAAATCAAATGTACGCAATGTACTTATAATTCCATCAGATGAATTGATGCTTTTGGATGAGATTTTTTTGGTTAAAATATTTCTTTTAAAAATACTAGCAGTTTTTATTTTCTTGCTTGAATACTTCTGATATAAAACCTTTGTTCTGTGATCACCTGAAATCACTAGTTTGCCTGTCTAACGTTGCTCTCTTTATCATTAGGCAACTTTCAATTGACTGTTGTAGTGATCTTAAAGATATTTGTGTTTGGAAACTCTAAATTAACCTTTCAGTGTAATTAAATCACCATCTTGCCTAGTTGTTTGATGTTGTTCTTATAAAAAGATCATGAGAATGATATCAAATTTCCAAAGTATCTTTTAAAGCATTGTAACATTTTTGTTAGACACTAGATTAACTATGGAATTCTCTTCTTCAGTGCTATTAAATGAAATTCTTTGTGCTTGTTTTTGTAATGAATTGTGGTTCATTGTTTTATTGTTCTCTTTATTAAGAGGTTATTTATTATTTGTCATATGATATATTCTTCATTCCAACATCTTTATTTCACATTGAAAGGAAATGTTAGTACCGTGTTGCACTTTATCATGTATAATTCATACATAGATTATGCAAACCCATTTTTGATATATTCAAAATGAAATGGAGCTTTGTGTAATTTTTCATACATTGCTTTTAAAATTTGTCATATGTTGCTAAAACATTTTTTTCTTAATTTAAGTCCCAGGATTGTTGGAATAAAAATATTTGTTATTCACTTTCTTTGTTTTTGAGTGATGCATGGAATTTGAAGTATGTTGAAAAGTCCAACCTTATCCTGTGTGAATGAGTAGTTACAGCAACCTGTTATTTATTTTTTACTATCCTATTCTCTTCATGTTAAAAAAATGTATTGATTATTTTCTAACCTACATACCTGTTTGTTGAAATGGCAATTATACCACCTTCAAGTGATGCAGTGTAAAAAGCACATTTGTTTTCATTATATTTGAGAAATGAAAGGCAACAGAAAAACTGCATTTTCATCTATTTCATCATTAATTTGTTCTGAATTGTCTTGGCAGACAAGTATACTAGTGGTCATAAATAAACTTGCCATTGGAGAGAAATAAAAAAAGTTAATGAATTTCCAAAAATGCCTTTGTTGAGATAGAATTATAAATGTAAGTATTAAATGTGAGAAGTTAATCTATCTTTTACCCGAGAAACTTTTCATTCAATAACTTGAGCTTGATAAATTTGGAACTCTTGATATTGAAAACAAGAGGAAGGTGAACACAGACTAAATGAGATTATGAAAATCGTGCTTCCTTATCCTCTTTTCCATTCAAAGCAGAGTGAAAGGAATTTTTAGATTATTAGGAATATTTGAAAACAGATGATCTGCTTAAATTTTCTGAAACTCAAAATTATCTTCTAAATACATTTTATTATCTACAAATTATTTACATTACATTACACAAATTATCTACAGTTTATGAACAAATACCCAGGTAACACCTTGGTTAGTTATTGATACTACTTATTATGCTCTTGTAGGAGTTGAGTGGCTTACAATATCTTTAATAATTGGTTCGGCAATTCCTCCTTGGCATATGATGTATAATTATGCGGGTTAGTTTTATTTTGGGCATCAAAACATGTTGGATGATGGCAGTAAGTGATGAGAAGTAAAGAAATACATTCACCAAAGTTATACCCGAGTAACTATCAGTTAGATAAATGGGTTATTAATTAAAGAACATAATGTGTTCTTTAGTATTGAGCAAATAAAAAAGGTATAATTTGGAAATCTTTTACTCTGTCACATTTTAAGAGTACACCAATGGATGTTGAATGGTTTAATTGAATTTAATAACTATGATAAAAATGGTAATTAATTTAGAGTTCAGTTTTGTGTCAAGGAGCAAATGGTCTTCATATAATGTTTGAAGAAGTTAAACAGAGATTAACCTGTAGCGAGCACCTGCACCTGATACGAGCTCTGCCAAATATTATTAGTCTTTGTTGAGGTAAGTTGAACTAGTAAAACACTCCTTCCTAGCTTCAAGGTACTTTTTAATAAGATGGACATAACTGCTGGAGCAAAATTGAGGTTAAAATGCGTGACAATTTCTTTCTATTTCTAATGTATTTTTGTAACTCATTAGAAAAGTGAAAATAAACATTCCTGAACGAAGTCCATTCTGTATTCATTATAGACCTATTTTAATTTCATTACAATATATCCTATTAAGAGACATTTCTGGAATATAAATGAAAATATGTAATTTCAATCATTGTTGGAGAACTCTACTTGCACACTGGCAAAGCTACCTCCTAAAGGCAGAGTCATCGCGAATCGTTGGATGTTCAAAAAAAAAGAGAAAACATAGTGGCGAAACTAGCAGATACAAAGCTAGACTTGGTTCAAGAAGTGAATTTCGAAGAAACTTTTCGCCCAATGGTGCGCTTTGATAGGTTTCGGTCGGTGTCGCAGCTAGCGAAAATTCCACCTCAGCCAGTCTGATGAGAATACAGCATTCCTGAACGGTCATGGTTCAAGAAGAAGTGAATTTCGAAGAAACTTTTCGCCCAATGGTGCGCTTTGATAGATTTCGGTCGGTGTCGCAGCTAGCGAAAAGTTCCACCTCAGCCAGTCTGATGAGAATACAGCATTCCTGAACGGTCATCTGTCTGAGGACATTGCATGACTCAGCCCGAGGAGCTCTCGAATGGCTCTGATCCAGTGTGCAAGCTAAACCGGAGCTTGTTCGGACTCAGTCGCCTCGCTGCAGGAATCAGCGGTTCAAGGAAGTTGTGACAGCTCTTGGTTTATCTGAGAGCACTGCTGGCCCCTGCTTATTCGTAAGGAACGTCAACGTCTATAAACTTTCGGTAGTTTTATGTTGACAACAGGTTGGGGGCAGCAACAAGGCAGAGTGACGCTGAGTTCTTGAAGCTTTGCCGTCACGTTTTAAAATCACCATTGAGAAGTTTGGCTGTTTCCTGAACCTGCAGATTTCCTAAGAAGAAAATGGGTCAATTGTGATTCATCCACAGGGTTACGCTGAATCAGTACTCCCAACGTTTCCACACAAGTGAAGCTAATCCTGTGTCAACGCCTATTTATCAGTATCATCAAGATTCCGAAGATAAGACAGACATCTGCGCCTTATCGCGAAGCGATTGGTTGCCTGATGTACCTGGTTGTGGCCACAAGACCGGACATCGCTTTTGCGGTGAGCTTTGCATCGCAGTTCTTGGAGAAGCCGGAGATGAGTCACTGGGCCTTGGTCAGGAGGATCGTGCACATAGAGGAGAGATACATAGAGGAGTGTTGTATCTCTCCTCTATGATCGTGCAGTACATCAGAGGGACATCGGTAATGGGAATCCGCTATCCAGCGTGTGCAGCAGCACAGAAGCTGCAAGTCCTGCACGTGTACAGTGATGCTGATTACGCGAGTGATCCGCAAACGCGCAAATCAGTAAGCGGAATGGTCACTGTGTTCTGTGCCGGAACTATTACGTAATCGAGTATTAGGCAACAGTGCGTCATTCTGTCGACATCAGAGGCTGAATATGTAGCTGCGGGCGAAGCAGCGAAAGAATGTTTGCCTGAGAAGACTGTTTAAAGACATTGGGTTTTTAAAATCAGTGCAAACGTCGTTGATAGTGCGAGTGCTATGAAACTATCTAAAGCCCAGAGTTTCGTAAGAAAACCAAGCACATTGAAGTGCGCTATCATTACTTGGCGGCGATGGTGTAACGATCAGCGTGTCGGACTTTTAAGCATTCCCAAGTTCGCAGTTTGAAACCCGTTCGATGCCGCGGAAAGGGCGAAAATATCCTTCGTACACCTGCCTTAGGAGGCGAAGTAAATCCGGCTGTCCCATGTTAGTAGATTTACTGCATGTATACATCAAGCCCAAATGAAGCCTCTGATTCAAATCGCCTGTTTCTCCTCTAGTTGGTAATACAGAGCGTAGCGAAATTTGCGTGGTCAGGCGGAAGCCCAGGCCTTATGGCCTGAGTATCGCCTCGTAAAATAAGGCATTAATTCAATCCAATTACTTACGAGATTAAGTGTAAATGGTAGCTTGTGTGTGATCCACATGTGCAGCATAGAGCAAGCGGCTGATATTTGTACGAAACCAATTCCACGAGTACAGTTTTGTTACTTGAGATCTTTCCTTGAAATTGATTAAAGATAAATTCATTTGGGGAGGGGAATTAAATTGTATCGATTTTATAGTCACTCAGCTTTATTTGTGATAATAAGAGAGATCTATAATCTTAAATTGTATGGGAAGTGTTGAAATAATTTAAGATTGTGTGTTGTACGTGTGTGCATTTGAATAAGTTGGTTTGATTGGTCGAATGACAACGCTAGATGCTCCCTCTCCTTGTTTTCTTCTTGCACAAGGACAAGAGTCCGTCGCGAGACGTTCCTAGTGAGCGTGTTCTTCTACTAAAGTTTTCTTTTGTGCTAATGTAATTCTTCAGATTTGTGTGTTACTGAATTATAATTAAAACCATTGCTTGTGTTTTAATTTTTACTTCCTGAACACCAATTGTACTATAGCACGTTTTTTTTCTTGCAATCGTATCACAAATAATGTAATTTCGATATTTACTGCACGATTTAATGTATAATTTGATATTTTTATGTAAAGAATATGACCTAAATGAGTAATATGACCTAATGAAATTATTTCCATGATCATGGGTAAATGTTTTGATATCACACCAGGAAAAAAGACGAATTGCCATATTTATTCGTCATTGTAAGTAAACGCAAAGAGATATGGCTAATTAGGAAGGTGTTTCGCAGTTAACAGTTCGAAATATCAAATAAAAGCTTCAGATGGAGGTCCATTTAGGAAGCAAAAGATTGGGAAAACGTGGCAAAAAAATCACTTCACCAAAAGTTGAACGGAAAATACGTCGCATTGCATTAGAACCCCGTCGGAAAGTACAAAAATGTGAAAACATGGTTCTCAAAGACGCTGGAGTGCATCTATCAGAGGGAACTCTCAGAAGAAGGTGTGGAGAAGTGGATCTCAAATGCCACGACCTGTGAGAAAACCCAACTCACACTCGCAAAGATGAACATTTTGCAAGAAAGTAGTGGAATTGCTGTAAGAAAGTAGTGAAGATGCTCAGAACTAGGTTTGAAACGCGCTTAAAAAAATTAAAACAGCCGATGAGAACACAAACTTCTAAAAATATTCTTAGAAGATTTACTTCTTTGACTAGTGGTCAATTCAATCGAGATTTTGCGAGACAATACAGAGTTCATGTGACGCAGGCGTAATGGGAAGTACAATAAGAACTACAATGTGGAACGAGTAATGCATCCTCTTTCTGTTCTGATATAGTCGGTTATTAGCTGCCACAGCACAGGATGGCTGTGTAAACTTGTGCAAAGAACCATGCGTCAGGAACAATACATGAAGGTACTACAGAAAAAATTTCTTTTCTCAGGCTTGTATTCATGCACGGTTCGGCTTCTTGTCACCAACCCTAAAAGAATCAAATTTTCTCAAGAAAAACAACATAAAAACTCTTGACATGCCTGGAAACTCACCGAATACGAATCCGATAGAGAATGTGTGCCAGGAATTAAAAAAAAAAAAATAAAAATAAAAAAATAGAAATAAAAAAAAGAATAAAATTATTACAGCTAATAAAGATAAACATGAAAATGACTAGGGGTTGGTAAAATAGTACTGCATTACCAGAAAAAGGCCATAAAATGCATTACAAGCATGCCAGTACGCATGAAAGCTCTCAAGAATGCCAAGGGAGGTTTCACAAAATATTTAAGAATTTGTTTCCAAAGTTGAAAATAATTTATTGAAGTTTTAAACCATCATTTTTTTTAAATTATTACTTTCTTAAATACCCTACAAATAAATAAAGTACTAATAAAATAGGTATTAATAAAATAAAGTATTCATAAAATCTGTCAATACATTTACGAATAAACGTCAAAAACCACTTGAGTATAATAATTTGGCCACCGACTGTACTGTCAGTGACCAGAACCTTGTGCGGCGGTGGGGGTGGGAGATCTATAGGATCTTGGGAGGTCTATGCGTACTCCCCTGATCTCTGTCCGTGCGACTTAGATCTCATTCCGAAAATGAAGACGTTGACATCATAACAGCGCATCGTCGAGGGGTGGCGCGCATACTAGTATCACGCATCACACACAGCCTCAGCTCAGTAGACGCATCACACACAGCTGGTGGTATTCAGCGCCTTCCTGAGCGTTGGTAAAAATTTGTGGACACCTGGTGGATTATATTGAAGGTTGTTAGCTCGTGAAAGTACGAGTATTACACGTAGTTTTGTTTTGTGCTCATGAAATACGAATAAAACAATAATCTCTCTGTCAATGTCTCTTACATTAGCACCTTGAACTCGGATCCCAATTTAGTACCAACATTGCGATGAACATTCCTCCAGAGACTTTCAATCGTATAATTTTATTTTCATTTCCTGTAGTTTTGTTGACTGATAAAAAATAGTTTCCACGACGTCTGAAATGACCCTCGTATAATATATGAACAATTAACAAAACTGCCCGAAAGCCTGAGCGAATCTCTAGTAAATACTATAGAGACTTATAGTATTTGTCTTATAGAATATCTCTATAGGATTTGTCTCAAGATGTCAGTGCTTACTCAGTTTGCCGTAAGAGGGGATGGGAAGCAACGGCCTACCGCGCATGCGTTGACTGCCTCTCCCACGTGCGAAATACGAGAGGCGTAGGTCATCTCACGTGGGCTCTATAAAGGTAGTGTAGTACGTTCTCTTCAATAGAATCAACAGATATTAGCTTATATTCTTACTTTTCCAAAATTGACATTGTGGGAGGTTTTTATTTACAACCGAATCATCGAAAATGTAAAGCATCCGAGAACAAAACATTAATGATAAAAACAATCGACTTTAATAATTGTTGCAGTGTCATCTCAGTCCTTTTCCCCCCACTTTTTTCGTGAACCGGCGATATGTAATATATGTTATTATGTATATGTAATATATATGTTATGAATGTAGACAGAATTTCCATGAAGGAGGATTTTTCTATTTAAGCTTCGTAGTGCTTTCAAACTTTATAAATATGTTTCACGAAAAACTCGTTTAAAAATGCACTTTTTGGTAGTATTTTTTGGAGAAATTCATGCACAATGCGTGTTTGGACGTTTTTAATATTAATAATGCATGTTTAGACTCTATCTAGCTTATTAAGTGCTTTCTTATTATTTCTCAGCATAATTTGTGAATATTAAAACCGACGCATATTTTGTGTAAATAGTATATTGATATTGGATCCTGAGAGAACGCAGTTGTCTTTTGTGCTTATTTTTACACTACACATTTTAACTCTCCGGTACACTACTTAGATGCGACACGAGTACACGTGCGGGGAGCAACGATCGCGAAATGAATTTATCGACGCCGTATGACAAGTCACAAAGGATACGGACGATACACGAAGCCAGAACTCAATATCGTTTGAACACTGAAAAAAAGAGAGTCGAGAATAGGGTCTCAGTCTGCTTGTGTGCTGTTGTGTGCAACAGAGCAATACACATTTCTAAATAGTGAAGTTTAAGTAAATGGCTTCTGCTAAGGCTTCGTGTGTACCACTTCTCAAAAGAATTGGGATAAATGATTGTCTGGAGGACGGATGGGATTGTAATTTATTCCAATTGCTGTAATAGAGAAGTAGGCTACATTGTAAAAATTGATCAATTACAAAATATACCTACTGGTGGTGTTTTCCTTGTCGAAATGTTAGTGCCCCAAGTCTAATGTTGCTGCAGAAAGTATATAATTTGAAATTCTAAAACTCAGAAAAGAATGAAACAATGTCAATAAAATATATACAAATCAAAACTTCAATTTTTATTGAGGTGAAAAAATTATTTTCAGGGTACTATTAATGTTTTTTAGTAATTTGAGAATTTTCTGATATTCAAGAAATTGTTTGGAAGAAACTGTTTGTTGCATTGTTTTTAAATAATTATTGTACTTGATGGTATGCATACTCTTTCCAAACATTTTTCTTGAGTTGCAGAATTTTACCATTATTACTTTTAATGTTATTTGAAAAAAATGTAAATTGTGAAGTATTTCATATTTTTTCTTTTAATTTCATTTGAAGTACTAGTAGCATCACTGTGATTGTAAAAAGAATAATTTATCAACAAGAATAAGTAGTATGACAAAACAAATACATGCCAAACGTGATTTCCACATTCAAATCTCAAATTCGAGCTCATAATTTCTATCCAGGTACCTGAACATTTAGCTACACACATTTTAGTAAAGCATGCTTGTCTTAAATTAAATCTGACATTAATTAGCATCAACATTTGAGTAAAATTTATTACAAAGCATTGCAATTTGCAGCAAAAGTCTAATACTCGTTTTAAGAAATATGTAGCTCTGTACAATTTGAATTTATTTATGCAGAATAAATGTTCTGAAATGTTTCGTGTGGGCCAGTACCTTGCATCTACTTCTCATAGTGACAAAGATAGAGAAAAGAAAGAAATTATGTCACTCTTAGTACAAACTTTTGTTACTGAGGCAACATTTGAACTCTTTAACAAATCCATTTTTAATTTGATGCTTTAGTATGTGCACATATAGTACTGTTCAAAAATGTAGCAAATCCAAAGTTTAAGGGATTTCTAGAGAAATATACAAGACAAGACATCCCGAATTCATATATATGAAGAAAAAATTATCTTCCTTATTTTCAGAAATTAGTATCAGTAGGTTTGGCAGAGTCATTAAACATTGTTGTAGACATTAAAGTGTCTGGGATTATTATTTGGAAATGTGGGAGACTGCTACGGAGAAATTACATAAAACGTTAAATTCAAATCATGGCATGAAATTTCTCCAAAACATACAAGATTTTATTTGTTGTGAAAAATCAGAAAATGCAAAATTTGATGTTACATTGGCTTTGATTTTGTCTTTGGAGTATGCCCCAAATGATCATGTCTTGTACTTTGATTACTATTTAAAAAGGTCATTTTCTGTATTCAAAAAAAAATTTTTCTGAAGAAAGCATGTATTTGACCCAACAGTTTAGCAAAATTGTTAATTGTTTACTTTTACAAAAAGCAATACAACTAAAAATTTAAGTAAATTAAAATTTGATTGGGGATGTTTTGTCCATTTTTACCATGCATTGTGCATATTTGGCTATTTGATAATGCACGATTGCATGCATATTTTATCATTTATTAGCAAAATGTTTGATTATTGCAGTAAATTGCAATTATCATAATTTAAACCAATTAATGAGGATAGGATACTATTCATGAGGTCTCCTTTACATGTCTAATTCATTCCGTGCTACGCATGCGTTTCTGGTCAACAATCGTCACTAGCATATGATGGCAAGGGATACTCAAGTCATTAACTTGTATAAATGAAACCACAATACGCCTTTGATTACAGACATACACACAAAAAATTGTCAGATCCAAAGACTTGACACATGTTTTTTCTATGTATTTCCACACTAAATTATCAAATCATAAAAACTACAAAAAAAATAATACCTTAATCAAAACCTAATTTTAAGAAAATAAGAAACTAATCATTTTTCTATTTCATTTTTGTTGATTGTGAGGGTCAAAATAGCATATAAATGCCTGGGGGGAAAAAAAATTGACACATCATCTTTAGTAAATTGTAAAATGGGTCTTCTTAATCCTCATGTGATTTTAAAAAATTAAACTTTTATTTGTATTGGAAGCTAAAAAAGCAGGTGACATTACCCCGTGTCATTGTAATGAGTTGATTATGGACTGTCTTCCCCCGGAAAAGGCAAGAGGGAAGGGTAGAGATTCCAGTCGGTGTGGCTTGAACAGGGCCAAGTGGGATCCGTTACTTGGCAGAATTACCATTTTAATGAGAACAGAGTTTTTTAGGTAATTCATTTTTTTAATCGCTACCTTTAGAAAACACCAACCCCCTCTGAAGAGAGAGCTTTCAAAGCATTTTCTGATTCTGGACAATTTTAAATAACAGAACACATTTTAGAAACTTACTATATATATCCTTTTATTTTCAATAAAAATAATCATTATCAACAAATGGCAGTCTTCCTGATATATAAAATATTAAAATATAATAAATGCAAATTTCTATATAACTTATGTGCACAACACTTGTATCACATTCTAAATGGAAAATTTGAGTTAAAGGAAACATTAATATAATAACTGGACATGATAGTTTGAAAATTTTGTAAGTCTGCCAGATTCATCAAAAATAGTTTTAAAAGATCATTTACAATTGCAGATAGTTCACATGCAACTCAGTAAAACTGAGAATTGTTAAATTTTCACTGGAGTAAAGAGAAGTTAAGTTTTATTTCAGCATAGTTCAAATATCTCCACATATAACATCATTCCAACAGAAATGAAACGCTGTCAGCTATTGACTATTGGGAATTCATCTTCCTTCAACTGGAGTTTTCAACTTTTCAGTCACACTCTTAAGATTTTGTATATTTTTATTTATCCAAGGATGCAATAGTACACCATCAAGTGACAATCTCAAGTATGGATTGACAAGCAACAGCTGAAATTAAAATGTTATTAAATTAAACAATTTTAAGGTATTTTATTCTCATCAAAATAATGTGGATAACAATTAGAAAACATATTCTGCTATGAGTTGCTGATTTTACATGACATAAAATAATGATGGGTTGAAAACATTGATGTTTGATTATCAATTGCATGATTAGTAAAACACTTTAAATGATATTTATGTATTCTTATGATAAGAAAAGTAAAAGAGCATCAGCAACTAGAATTCTACAAAATATATTATTTTGTTTGTGCACAAATCAAATACCTTTGAAATTAAATCTTGAGCTTCCACTGACACATAAGATGGAATTGTATATTCTGCACGACTTATTCGCTGGTAAGTTTCTTGGTAGGTAGGAGTCTCGAATGGAGGCTTCCCCACCAAACATTCATAGCATAACACACCCAAACTCCAAAGATCCACCTTCTCATCATGTAGTTGTCCTTGTATCATTTCAGGAGGCAAATAATCTAGAGTACCACACAATGTGCTGCGCCTGAAAAAATTGATATCTTAATAATCTATACTAATATTTTTCGAGACAACTGAGTAGAGTTAGAGCATTTTAATCTCTGAATGAACTGAACTATCCATGAAACTTCTGTAATAGCTAAGATCAGGAATACTATAGGCTATGATTTACAACCATAAACCTTAACGTATTTATAAAATAATTACTTCTCTAGACGTTTTTTTTGCCAAGCATTACATCACAGTTTCAAGAGTGTATCAATGTGCAATAGTTTAGCTTTGCGCCACCAGAGGATGACAATTGCTATCCTTGATTAAGTTCATCAACGCACAAAGTTGCTTATGTGTGGGAGAGGAAAGAACTATTGTATATTTCATATTAATTGTCTAACCTGGAATGTTCATATTTAACAATGATAATGAGAGATGAATAATCACTCTATTCATAAAAGTAACTTAGATATTGATTTTAACTGCATCTGCGTGTAAATTGTATGAAGAATATGAAATTATTGGAACAAGCGATTTTGCTTACGGAAGTGCTTGATATTGTCTGAAAAGGGTATAAACAAGTGATGCAACATCAATGTTCCAAACTTAATACATAATAATACATCAACCAAATATATACAATAATATACATAAGTTAATAATACATCGACCAAAAACCATCAATACTTTCAAATTATACCAAAGGTATAATTACCAAATTTCTTTTTCAATTATTAATGTTAACAATATCTTGTTCATGCTATTGTCAGAAAGATCAATACCTGGAGGATGGTGCATGCACTGACCAACCAAAATCAGCAATTTTTAATTCTCCCTTCAAGCCAAGTAGCAAATTTTCAGGTTTAATGTCTCGGTGAATTACTTTTTTGCTGTGACAGTATTTAAGGGCATCGGCAAGCTGAGCTATGTAGTTTGCTGTTCTGCACATGAAACACATGTTCATAAATTAAACAAGGTGTAAAATTTCTGCCATAAAAATGAACACACCATTAAAAAATACACTGAAAACTTACCGAATTTCATCAAATCTTTTTTGCGGTTGTGCTTGCAACTCTTTATAAAGTTCACCTTTCGCAGCAAATTCAAGAATAAGGTATACCCGAGAATCATCATGAAAATATCCATACAATTTCAAGATGTTCGGATGCCTGAGTACATATTATTTTAGTATTAAAATATTAACATTTTATTTAGTTAACACACCACATAGATAATACATCATTTTTAAACATGTACAAGTAGACTCTCAATATGTACCACAAATCAATATTTGTTGAATATTACTACGACTTCTAAGAATGATAATAAGAATTGTCAGCCTAATTACAATAAGAGTTATCTTCAATTCAGTCTGGAAGATGCAGAATTAGAAAGCACCAGGTATTGATGGGATGCAAAACCTTTGGTGGAAGTATTACTCATTTGTTGTGGCAAGGTGGTTTCAAGCTGCATTTAATGATCCAACCATCATCCTGGCATCTTACTGAAGGAGTTACGTTTTTGACAAGTAAGTCTGGCGTTCCTAAGACTCTGAGCAATTATCAGCCTATCACGTGTATATAAGATATACATAGTATATAAGATATTTCTATCTGTGCTAGCCAGTATATAGTAGCTAACAATCTTCTGGCACCAGAGCGAAATGGTTGCAGAAAGGGTGTTCAAGGTTGCAAAGAATTACTGATAGTAGACCCACCTCTTACTTATACACACTTACACTAAACTATGCTCTATACTACCACACATGCCGGGAGACCAGTCAGGAGCATTGGGCTTGCTGAGGCGGTGCTCTGCTGGAGGGAGAAAAACCCCACAAGCTGACCGGTAGATCAGCATCTGATCATGCCAAGAAGGAGGAGAAGATCACTACCCCCCCCAAACATGCACTACATCTAAGGGACTAGTGAACTTAGCAGTTGATGTGCCCGGAATCATCAATCAATGAAGGATCAAGGCCCGGAATCAAGGAAGAAAAGAAAACCAAAAGAATGTGCAGAATTTGCAAAAGCATTACAATTTACAAACGTAACAGGTGCAATGTTCATCTCCATTCCAACTGTTTTCAATCACCTTGTGTAAAGATTAATTGATACACCCTATTGTCCTAAGGTAGTGTGCTTGCAACACTTTGTTGTACATTGACTATTAGTTAAAAAATGTGTGCACGCATATGCACATTCTTATTGACTTGTACTTTACCCAAAATATGTGAAAGCATCAAACTCTTAATATCTAAAGAATAGCACTGAGTAAAAACAATTCTTTGCAGAATTGACCCTGACTTACTTTTGACACTTCTAAAGCTGCTTCCAGTATTTAATTTGACATTATTTTTAGAAATAAAATGTCAATTTGCAGGCAATTTCGCAGAACATTATCCAGTGTATATTTGACAGAATTCATTCTGTAAGATATTTTATAAGCTATGACATGCAAATAATTTATCTCAAAAGACTTACCTTAAGTGTGACTGAATTTCAATCTCTCTTCGTAACTGATGTTCCACATGGGCCTTCTGGACTTCTGATTTAAACAAAACTTTTAAGGCCACTATAAATTTAGATTTTTTTTCTCGGGCCAGGTACACGTTTCCAAATTTGCCTTTTCCCAAAGGTCTGCCAATATCAAAATCAGTCAATGTCCACCTCCGTCTACATTGCACAAAGAACACAATCTTTGAAATCTTCAAAAGGAAATTTCACATTAAATGACATTACACATCAATGCTCATTACCTGAATATGTCAAAAAATATACTGATTAAATAGTGAAAGACAGTAGGCATACATTTCTTTAAATGTACATTTGTGGAAAACAAATAATACATGAACAGTAAAACATGTTTATATATGCCTCATAAAATCTATTCTATTAATTTAGCACAAATGTCCACAGAAGGTGACTGACATACCCTTAAAATAATCACAATTCTACATTTAAAAAAACATCAATATCACACTCACAGTTCACTGTCCTTTGCAGTCAACTTCACTTTCCCTTTGGACAACTCCAATTTAACATCAGGTGGTGGCATCAACATCTTTTCTGTTGTATCCATTCCTTCTGATTTAGTAGAAATACTAGAAGTATGTGATGAAGCCTCAGTATGATTCTCTACTTTATCATTACAAATAACTGTTTCTTTACATTGTAAGAGAGCTGACTTAGGTTCATCAGTAATCTCTTTCAGCAGCTCACAGCCAGCATCTTTCCTAACTGCCAAAATACTCTCAGTTCCACCCTCCACTTTCACAGACAACTCTGAATTACCAAAATTAACTTCAGAACCAGAGATCTCCTTACACACTGCTGCAGCAATACCTTTTTCAGGAGCTGTTGGTATCTGGTCACGTACTGCATCTTTCTCTGAAGTAGTCTCAGGTAAGACTAGTGGTGACAATTTGTTTTCATTTTTGGAGCAAGTTTCATTAGAAATTAAATTTGTGTCTGATGGTACTATAGGTTTACCTTCTTTTATTTCTTTTGAGGTGGAATGAACAGTATCTTGAGTAAATGACAATTTGGTAAGACGTGTATTGCCATTATTGAGCAAGTTTTTCACAGGTATCCGACTGGGAGTAAGCGTAGTCTTTATTTTTGTCTGAGCTGCTTTATTGGGACACAAGGAACCCGGCTTATTAGTACTATAAGCCAATTTTACAGATGCTGATCTTTTGTGGGTTGAATCTGAAGTTGCAACATTGCTTTTAACAGTTGATTTTTTTGCCGGAAGAGATGATCTACTTTTGATAGGAAGATTTGTATTATTTGACAACTGATTTGTACGAGTTGAAGCCGAATTAGGTGTATTACATACACGATTGTTGTGAATTTGTGGTTGCCTTACTTTCGCTAACCCATAATGACTACCAACTTCAGACAATGGGGTAGTTTTTCCATTCTTGACACTTGAACATTGAGACTCCTTTTGAGTATGACCATGAGTATGATAATTACCAATTTTTGAAGCCACAGAATTGGTTGAAGCACTAAAAAAGTATATTAAATTACAATATACATTTAAAACGTACATACAAAACATTCCACAAGTACACAACAAAACTCACAGTTGCTTGGACATGTTGACTAGTGCGGCTGTAGATTTCAAGGGTTCTTTAACTCCATTTCCCAACCCACATTGTGATGGTGATGGTGCTGCTGCTGCTCCTACAGGTTTAAAACGAAGCTGTAAAGGAACCCCTCCATGGAGAGGAATTCCTTTATTCTCTTTCCCTCGAATCATTGCTGCATGAAAAAGCCGATGGGAAATACTTAATACAATTAAGATAGAAATACACATTACACGAATGCACTAAATTTAATAGGCACTAAAACTACATACCTTTAAAAATCTGAATCGGTAACTCCAGGAATCTGAATGCCTCAAAACATAGATTTTAATGGTTATTGCTAATAGGTGGTATTGAATGAACAGCTTTAAGAAGTTGTCTTCACTTAATATCTCCGTCGATTGATCAACACAATGCTAAAAACTGTATCAGAAACTGGATCTCTTCGTGACTCCAACTAATCAGTTGATGATACAACAGTTAAAACACCAAAAGCGGAACATTACAAAAGCGAGCCTATTTCATCGACACAACTTTTAAATCTCCCGTACATTACCGTTACTTCATCGAATTCGACTCGCGACGAATTTCGATACTCGATACACGCTCGACTATGATGCAATGACCAATCTGCCACTACCCGGCTTCCGCCAATGAGCTTAATGCACTAGTTAGCGTCACACTATTAGCGGGAATTTTAAATACAGCTAATACCCAGTACCTTGTTACAAGTCATTGCAACAGATGAATGAGGCATATTTAAAAAAATATTGCACCTTGTAAAGGATCATAAACTTGTGATTTAAAATGTCTAATAATTAACCCCTTTCTTGTTTGACCCCACACTTGAGCGAGTCAAAATCCGTAAACTAATAACAATTTATTACGTATTACGTCAAGTTTACGCTCCTACAGTACACATTTTTAAATTTTGTGTGAATTTGCAAAGTCGCCTCAGTACAGGAAACCAAAATATTATCATATTGATTTGGAAACCTGGCTGTCTGTTTTTTCTCCTAACATTGGGTTTATATTACATGCTAATATATACACACAAATGTTAACAATTCCATTAATATGAGCAGCAATTATTTATTGACAAACACCAGCTTTTAAAATGCTACACGCCGTATATGATGACCTGACATAACATGATATAACATGACACATAAAAATTACACTTTAAATACAACATATCTTGAAGAAAACAAATTCAATAACACTCACTCATTCATATATTTTTAAACTGCATTCATTCACGCTAGTGCACTCATTTTGAAAAAAACAACAATTTTAAATGGCCATTACTTAGTTGGTTAATACAATCTTGTCCTTGTAATTTTTTTATTTCTCTTTTTTTTAATACAAGATTTGCAAAATGGCGTCACCTCCATGGTTGCTGGACCCCGCAAAATGGTGTAGTCTCCGCTGCTGCGATTATTTGCACCTTATCGTCGCGGGGTACCATTCTTTTCTTTTCAAACTCCAAATCGACACACTCGTGGACTATATACCTTACTATGGAACACCACTCTACGACATCCTATCACCTTCCAACCATGAAACATACATGAAAAACTCAGATTTCTCTCCTGCCACGATGTCAGCACTACCAGATCGCCAACCCGTCATAACACGAGGTCTGCTACCAGCATAGTTCCTTGGATTTTTTTTTAGAAATAAACTCTGTACCCTTGCACCTTCAACTCTTCGACGATTCTCTTTTTATTAAATATCTGAGGTTTTAATCAAATGCTTTGTTTTTATTTGTATTTGATACTCTGTAAGTACTAAGTTACATTCATACATTTTTTTAACAAATAAACACGTTCGATCAACAACTTTCCATCTTATCGAAACCATAGGGAAATGCATCGGGAAAGGGTGGGAATGAACATGCAAGATCTCTCGCACAGGTGCGCTAGTTGTTGATTTTGTTGTTGTTGTTGTTGTTGTTATTGTTATTATTATTATTATTATTATTATTATTATTATTATTATTATTATTATTATTAGGTGTATATTACATTTATCCACAATTAAAGAAACGTGTTTGCTCACTATTAAACATGATTGTGTTAGGATTATTTCATGCGTTTTTGCGTGCTGCCAATTCATTAAAGGTGTTTTTTTACCACTAAACATGGTTGCGTTTGGAAATTGCAAGAGCTGACATTCAATGGGACACAGCAGCAAGAAATTCGAAATTAAATTATGGAATTTCTACAGTGAATTGCCGCTTTCTTCACGAAATCAACATATTGACCACTGATTAATATGTAGCTATACTGCAATCTTCACGGCTACTAACCAATCCTTGTTTGTGTCCTTATTTCTCATTATTCCAGCATGAATTCAACAAGATATAAAAATCCCTTTTATCATAACACTCACCACTGTCACTTTAAATAAAACATACGTGTTCCCGGATCTCGTTGCGTCTCTCACACATGCACTACATCAAGTTTCGTGATGTTACGTAAATAAATTAATGTATGTTTGAAATGACTATGTAAACAATGTGTGCTACCAGAAGGAGATTTTTAATAGCTCTCAAATGTACGAATATATAATGTGTGCTACTTTAAAATATATATTGAGTGTCAGGCAAGTACCTTAATAAAGGAGAAGAGGATGTGTATAGGATGTGGAAGTGATCACGTTGTGTTCTTTATGAGAACAAAAAGTTTCAAACAAAGTGTACAAGAGACGTGTAATATTGTACAGTCGGGACAGGAGCAGTGCACCAAGTGTACACACGTAGTATGCAGCTGCTTTTCAGACCACCACATCACTGATTTTCGCTTGGGCGCGTATATACAGCTTTTGCAATTTGTAACTTTTAAACGTTTTTCAACTTTCTTCTGCCATTTATAATACGTATGTCACGTTAAATCAATTGTTAGGTTTCTGTCTATCTGCATGAACCTATTTAAGTAAACTAATGACATGAAATTTAAATATATTATGAACACTAGCCATGTGATCAACTTGGATAAGCCTAATGGTTCCGAAATTATTATTACTTTCTCGCATTACGAATTCTTAGTAAGAAGAGAAAGTTATGCAATCGTACGCCAGAAACACCATAATTTAGCCATAAAATACCTTTTTGCCGGGTTCTAGTAACGAAAAAGTGGATAAATCGTATTGCTAAATTTAGAAACAAATCCTCTAACTCGTGGTGTATCCAGAATATGTTTTGTTGGTTCTTGATACCGAAAAATCGATTGACGGCAGAACGTCCGTCTGTCTGTGATTAACGCTAGCGCATGAACCGTTTACCTGATTTTCTTCAAAATTGATATTTCCTGATTGATCTTAACGGATTGGAGGCTTTAGAAGTTTGTAACAGATATTTTCATTGTTGAAGGTTTTTTTTACGTGAATCTGGCATTTCCCTTTTTATACCTTTGTATGAGTTCGAACCTTGCGGCGCTTCTGTGACATACTGGTATGAGTGCCGGCACATTAACTCTGAGTGAATGTCTGAGTTCGATTCGAGTCTCGGATCGGAAAAATAATTTGATGCTTAAACTTTTGCTGGTTTATTTAATAGTATAATGTTTCGGTGCATTTAGAGAATGCAATACGTCGTGCTTTGGCAGCACCACTAGTTTCAATTAAATCAATAAATGTAATTTGACTTGAATGTGAGAGATTCCACATATGATTTGACCCCTCGTGTCAGAAATGAACCGGTGAGCTACAAAATATCTGGACTTAGTTTGTGCACAAACAAAGTCTGGAAGATTCACAAAATATTGGTGGTTTACATTATGAAGCTAGTTTGTTCAATATGAACAGACATAGGCGGCCCAGCCTAAAACATGAGGGAGCAACTACGTTTTTATTGCCCCTTTTCTTTAAACTTTATTTACATATAATGACATATTTTATTAGTAAATAACTAATACACACAGGGATAATGAAATTATAGTTTTAATCATACTAATAACAAATACAATTGATCTAATATTGAACCATTTACAGGATTACCAAGTGCATTTAAGAGTCACTTCCCCAAATGTACGACAATTTCGCGGGGAAACGATGTATTACGCATAGTGACTGTGCTTCCTTTCAAAAATTTCCAAGGGAATCATGCCCTCCCCCCTGCTCCCCATGCAGTAGCATACCGAAATGAGTGCGGGCCCTCCTGCCAACTTGTATTCGGACCCCCTTTATATAGATTTATAGCACACACAAGTAGTGTTTAGTACCTTAAATAATAAAAATATCCCCTAAAAATAGGCTCTTTTTTACTCGGGCCCGCCTGCATTGGGGGCCTGAACGTTACGCCACTACCCCCCATGTACGCCAATGCATTCAGGCATAGCGTGTAAACGAAAACGTATTTATTGTGTCTCATAGTGAGAGCTGTGTCGAAAGATCCGTTTTAGTGGATTGTTTATGTTATTGCAACAATGTGGAAAATCTGCATGCGTTTGCATGTGATCTGAGTAATACTCCGGCGTTTGCATGTGATCTGAGTTATCCGGAAGGGCCCCAACTGTTGATTGAACCGGTAGTCCGATTACTTTTCAGACTGATTCATTGAATCATGATTGAATCGTTGAAATCGTTCACCAGTTGTGCCGGTATCTGTTCTGTGTTTGTGGCAGAGAGTATACATTGTGGATTTTGGTGGAACGCAGTTATCTAGGCGGCTCTTTCAAAATCTCGTGAAAATGGAAATTAATGAATAATGTAAGCATTGTAGAATTTTTAGTACACCTTGGGTGAAACAAACATAATATGCCTTTGTGAATCATTTAAATCATCAATAATATCATATTTTATTTCAAACCGCCCAATTAATCTGAAGTTCCCTTCCAAGTGAATAAATAATAAATGCATGGAAGAAGTATAATTCCTCATGGAATATCTATGAAGTGAGCTGTTACTTTTACAAAACTGCATTAATGTGTTGTTTATAAACTTTAAATGTACATTAAATGTACACTACCATAGTTTATAGGTGAATTCTTCAACATACAACACTTTAGGAAGTTGCACGAATGATTCTTCATAGAGACCTGAGGTTCGCTCGTGAGTCATGTAGTCGATTCACAATTCACTAGTGCCACCGCGGAGCAGACGTAACATCGAAGAACTACATGGTTGACGCCCGATTTTCTCGGTGTAACCGGTGCAACTGTACCAATAATCGATTGGAAATGCGGGAAAATGCGGTGGCAATGTACACTGAAAAATAACTCTCAGGCAATATTTTCATAAGACAAATCCAAAGTATAAAATAAATGCTTCATTATGACGACTAAATACGTATAAAACATTGACACATTAGCGCCGTAAATTCGTGTACGGGAGAAGGGCGAACTACAAAGTAATCGTTGGGGAAACGATTCCAACCGATTGAAAAGGCGGGAAAAAACCGTTGATTCATCCAATCACTCGTTGCCAACACTCAGTGAGTATGACGGAAAAAACATTTATTGTCCGATTTTCTTTAGAATGGGATGATTTGACAGCGAGTGCTGGCAACACAACTGACGATTCTGTGGTCGTTGTGTCCTTGAACTTATTAGACTGTCCTTCCTCGTTCGTTTGCAGTTGGCTAACTTGTAAATAGTTACGACAATCCCTGGCTGTGATGTCCTCGTCCGACGAAAATATAGTGCGCCACAAGAAATAATTGAAATTAGGAAGTGCAGAGCTTTGTGCTCTTCTGTACATTTTTTTAAAATAAAAATGACATTGAATTTAGTTTTTATGTGATAAGAATTATGTTTGTTTTACAATCGAGACTTGAATGTGAGATGCGTACTCGCGACGGTGTATGTAAGGGAGCCGTAAACAAAACGAAGGGGCGTAACTAAACAGCTGACGCGGCGGTGGGATACTTCTCTGAAGTACACGTGATGTTCATTTGTTTCGCGAACTGTCACTTTATCCCATTCTTAAGAAAATCGTTCTATACTCGCGGAACTTTTCTTGAACGATGGATTGAAGAAATGCGGGTAGAGTGGGGGTATTGGTTACGAAATCGGCCACTAGATTTTATGAAGCAATGCCAATCTCTGGAATCAGTCATGCCTTCGCAACTTTCTCAATAATTTGCGTTCTAATTTTTTGAGGAGTTTGAGGTATTTCCTGTGATGAATCATCACCTGCTTTAGTTATTTACCAATTTTTTTTGTAGAAAATCACGGTCAGAAGTTCTCTTCAACGGAAAAAGTTTCTATTTCGCGCCAGTGAAGATGTGTTTGGAATGTTGTCATCAGTGCACGCTGCGAGCTTTTGCCTTCAACTGTTTATTGTGTCAGAGAGGGGGAAGCGAGGTCATCGTTCAAGAAGTTGCGTGAAGTTCTGGTGAAGTCACCAAATAGCATCATAGCATGCTCAGCTGCTCAGCTGTCGCTCACGTCAGGCTCGCAACAAGCATAGAGGAGAGATATCTCTACACTTAGCAACAAGGGCTCTAGTTCTTGCCCCGTCAAAGAATATATAACAGTAACTTCTTGTTTCCTGCACTGACAGCTCTGGGGTCCACTTATTGCTCAGGTTAGGGGCCAAAATAATCATGGGTTATAGGATAGGGTCGGAGAGTATGCCAGAGCGTGTGGTGATGCTCGTTACGCTCGTTACATGTGTTCCGTGTTAGGAAGGTTCTCACGTGTAAAAGTATTAATACCTGTTGACTTTGTGTACAATAAATAAAGCTATAGACTCTAAAGAAGTCCTTACCGAAATGTGCTGATAGGTTGTCATTTGAGCTTCTGATTTGTAATACTTACAACAATGGATGCAGCTGGAGAAAATATGCCTATGCATGGACAGTTGGTGGAGAAAGAAGTTGTGGAGCCGGAGGTCTGCAGTGATGCGAGTAATCCGCATGTTTTTCGCATTGACAGGCATAAGATACAAACCGTTAAGCAAGGTCCCGAGGAACTAGAAGCGCTTGGCATTACCATTTATGATCAAGATACTTTTGAGAAAGGGATATTAGATCAGGTGGATGAAGCTATTGAGAGGCAAAACAAACAGATTGAAGATGACACTTCTGAACCACTTGGGTAAGATCATTTGTTTTGGGGCAGTACACTTTATATTATTATATTTATAGGGTTGTCTTGCTATGAATATGTTAAATTAAATGTTTGGGAAAGAATATATAGTTGAGGCTTCTTTTAAATGTGACATACAAATGTAAGAAAGTATTGGAGGTAAAACAATATTTTGGTTTAGTATAAATGAACTACAAATCAAACATATCTTGTAACATGATATTGTTTAACTGTTTAACATTACATTGTTTAACTGGAGAAATATTTTTAAAAAATGTATGTATGGCAGTTACTGGTATTTTGTTTCAGTGTGGAAAGTGAAAATGTACCCAATGTTGATGCAATTTTACACAGTGAAAACTCTAATGAAGATTCAGGAAAAAAGGAAAATTTTCAGCAAGGAATTTCATCCAAAACAGAAAATGTAAGAAACTTCTACAAACAAAAAATGCATATTAATTTTGTGAACATTCTTTATCTGTATTAGAATTGAACTGATTATTTTTGACATGTGATGATGTTGAATGAACATAGTTTGTATGAATGCTCTTCCAAGTGTCAAGATTTTTCACATTTCTAAAAATGATTATTCTGGAGGTGAGATAACAGTGACATAATCTTGAAGAGATACCTGAATGTTTTCTCTAAGCTGCCATATAAAAGAAAATAATTGAAACTTGTTTGAAAAAAAATGGGAAACTTTGTTTTTTGGTATAAATTTCTAGGAATAAAAATAAATCTTTTAATGAGTATAGAAGAAAGAAATCATTTAAAAAGCATGCTGTAAAAGTGTCATTTTATATTTCTTGCAACTTCATCAACAAAGTCTAAAATAAAATTTCCATGTTTCTCAGTAAATACTAAAATGTTCTTTTGATTTTTAGGTGAATGGCATAATTGTTTGTATGATTCTCATTAAAATATTGTAAAAGGTTTTCATATCAAAACCAATTTTATATAAAAAAATACTTTGGATTATTTGAGAGCATTAGGAATACAAAGAATAGGAGACTAATTTTGATTTTCTGTTTTTTGAAAAGACTTTCAAGGTAGTTGGGGAAAATCTTGAATCACTTGAATTTATTTTATTTATCTTATTCATTGTTGACTTCTAGGCAATTATATTGTTATTTTGTATTTAATTAATGTATATTATTTTTTTCTTTACCTATGTCACATACTTTTAATCATTGTTGTTACTGGCCTTAATTTTGAAAAATACTTTTTAATGATATACACCTACGCTAAGAATGTGATGATAATGATGATGATGATGATCCTCATGATAACGGGAGGTTAAGGGGAGAATAAGTGGAGAATTGTAATGCTCTCCCTGTTCAACTGGTAACCTTTTCAGAAGGATTCAGTTAGATCAGTACTTCTACTATCAGCTTACCACTAGTGTAATAAATAATATTTCTTTGGGTCTTGTGGATTAAGAAGTAACAAAAAAAATCTTTATTGATATTTATCATTACCTTATATTGTAGGTAGCTAGGCATATCACCTGTTCCTGGTAGGCATGATGGCTTTTAATCCTCTTATATATTTCTGATCAAATAATTTCTCTTGGGGTCTCCCCACGTATCTTAAGCTTGTAAGTCAAAACGGCGTTTGGAAACCCTTTTTGCTTTGTTCTGTTAATGTGAGAAAACCATTTTTTTGACTTTTCTTTATCTTGTCTTCTAATTTTGTCTTTAGACTTCATTTTATAATATCTTTACATCTTTGCAATTGCTTAGCATAACTCATGTGAGTTGGCATAGAAATCTCATGTGAATCATGTGTGCATTGTCTGCAGTGCTTGCTGATCACTACTTTTGACTGTTCAAACTTCTGATCCATCCACGAGTATTGGATTTCATATCATATTATGTGTTCTTAAATTGGCCTCCTGAGTCATATCCCTTCAAAAAATGTTTGATTTTGATATTTATGTTTAAAACAAATGTGTTAATAGAATTAATGTTATGTTTATTGAAACCTGATATTATTTTTAACCAACTTTTTCAGAATAAAGCAAGAAAAAATAATAGTTTGTTGTTCCATGCCCTCAAGCATGGAAGCAAGGAGACTGACTATGAGAGGAAAATTCGTTTGGGAGAAATGACACCTTTTGGTAGTGTAGTTGATAGAAAAGATATCAGGTAATTGGAGAAAACAAAAATTGTTTTTATCTTAAAAGAATTTTAAAATGAAAACCTCTGAATATAAACATTTTCACAAATGAGTAGTTTATGTATTTAATTTTGTTTTTATTGACAGGCATGATGATTCCCTTTCTCATTTGAATGATTATTTTGAGAAACAAATTAATCTTCAACATGAATATAAGTGCCAAATATCCAAACAGAAAGGAAAAAGCAAGAAAACAGAGTTATTGGCAGTTTCAGAACAGAAAGAAGAAAAATGTCTTTCGAAAAAGAAATCACCTCTTAAAAAAAGTATTCTTTTACCTGCCAAAAGAAGAAAGAAAGAAGAGCTAGGAACAAGGATTGGTGTACCAGGGTAGGTGTTCTCAAACTAGTATTGTATTAAAAGGGACTGGGCATAGACTAAAAACATTTTAATGCAGCATATAAACCTTGATGATTTTCTGCAGCTATTAAATAGTAATATTCTTTTAAACATAATGTTAAATGTTACTGAAATATGTAATCCATTTTTATCAGGAAAATTATAGGTGTAAAGATTGATCAAAGTGCAAGGTTTAGATATTTAAAGTCATATCCTACTCCAATGTCCAACACTGGCAGAAAAACTTGCTCTAAAAACAGATGTGCATCAACAGTGGATTATATGAGTATTATGTCTCTTCTGGACACTTGTCTTTCTGTAGTTCTCGGAAGGTCGATATTTACTTGTGTCATACTGGGTTAAAATAACAATATTAAGAAATATGAATGAGAATCTTTCATCATAATGTATTAATGTTATTTGAACAAGGCTTAAAAAAGGTTGCAAGTTATGTTTAGTTTCAGTTAATAAAATATTTCAGTTTTTATAATAAAAAATTTCACTTTCAGATATGAAATGATTCCAAATGCCCTTCTAATGTTTTTATTAAATAATTTTGTAATTGTTGATTAAGATCTATGCAAAATTAAAATTTTTGTCTTCTTTCCCGCCAGAGCTAAAACTTTCATATATTAAAATTAAAGAATTACTTTACCTTTACGACACCTTTGAAAATAGGTCCTTGATTTTCAATTATACAGGCACTGCTATTATTATTGTTGTAATTAATGTTAATAAAACTTTTAATTTTACTGTGATCGTAAATACCTTCTTTTCAGAATTTGGAAAAATAGCAATAGAAAGTATTACTACGCATTCCCAAAATATGTCTAATGTAATATATAACAAAATATGTCTAAATGTCAGTATCTCTGTTTACTTTCTTGTATACATATGTATATATGGAGGAACATATATGTAATGTAGTAAAACCTGTGTAAGGCAGAGCCTGGATAAGGTGAAAACCTACCTTGGTCAGAAAAAATCCCAGAAAGGACTCTTGTCCAATGCAATATACATTTAATAAGCTGGAAACCTGCCTAATGCAGAAACCGAAAGGAATTTTTGGTAAGATGGTATTAATAATTCAGATAAGACTGAAAACAAATATTGTTTTAAAATTAAACATTGACTTGTATTTTGTGTGGCGACATTGTACCATCAGACTCTCAAAACTGTGCTCGTCCATTCGCTTTCTTGCTGCCCTTGTCCAAACATCTTATTTCTCATGCTACTTGTGTAAAAATCGCTGTTTATTTGTAGAGTAGCATTTGTATTTTAGCACTGAGCCTCACTAGCTTGTGCGAAGGAAGGAGAAGCAAAGAGCAATCCTTCCATAGTTCTGGTATTGCGTCCTTTGGGTTGAGTGGTTCGAATCATTTACTATTGTTCAATTTCACAACTGGCAGTGTTGTGTTAATCAAGTGTTCAGGCAGCAAATTGTAAACGTTAACTCTTGGTGAGAAAATTTGACTAATTGAAGAAGATGAAAAAGCTACACTTTTGGCAAGGTTTTGATAAAGAATTTTAACTTGAGCATATGACACCTTAAAAACAAAGACAAAATCAAGGATGAGTGGTTAAAAGGAAGTTTTGAAGGTGCTTGTCACAAAATTCACAAGGACCTAGGCAAATAGCCAAAGCCTGAATCATTAGATGTGTTCACCTGTAATTACAAACGTCTATTTTTTCCTCTTTTTTTTCAAATGTAAGTTTTAGATGAAATAAACTATTCACACAATGTATTCTGTTTCTGAACAATTGCGTTTTCTAAATGAACAGTTTTTATTGGAAACCTGTACAAGACGGAAGAAAATGTTGAACCCAACCAATTTCAGCTTAGAAAGGTTTTACTATAATACATATGGTATAACGTACATTATGGTGTACGGTATAATATACAATACATCTCCTGATACTGAAGAAGTGTGTGTGTGTGTGTGTATTTTTTTCTTTTCAAAAACATCTTGCCTGTGTGCTCATCTACCTGTCTGGCTGGGTCTGTGAACATCACTAGTGCCTAAACTATTCATAAAATTTTTTCCAAAATTAATATTCTCCAGTTGATCTGTCCTGACTTGAAGCTCTACCATTTTGAAACAACCTTTTTTTAAAATTACTTTACATGAAGCCTGTGGGACATCAAAAATAGATGGAAATTTTTTCTTTATGAGTGAAATATATGTATATATGACCCCTATCTCGATCAAGTTTTTGTCCAGTTTCCCAGATCCATTGAGCAAATGCTGAGAAGGCCCCTTGCTTGAATTCTTGTCGTAAATGTAGCTTCATTATGCGCACGTTTTCTTGAACTTTCCTTTTGCTTGTAATGGTAAGAGTAGAGGTAAGGGCGAGTTACTATTTTGTTAGCAATGCAAAAAAATCATACTTGCAATTCATTTACTGATGCAAATAAATTTTCTATAACTCAGAAATGAAAATGTTTCTTTTTTTTGCTCTTCAAATATTGCTTATCTTGCGATTTTTAAATAGATTTTAAAAATTTATTTTCATTTATTTATTTTATACTTTTATTTATCTTTCAACTATTGATAGTTAAAATGACGGGAAGGGATTCTGGAACTCAAGAAAACTTGCGCAGATGATCTCTCCCATACGTCATGTACAGTTTTTACTGTTTTTTTGACTAAATAAATCTAAATCGAAATATACAAAGATGGCATAGGTCTGATTGTCACATTTAACTCTGAAATTTTGGAAATTACAAGTGTTTTCCTACAACACTAATCTGTTGATAGCAATTTTTTCTTCAAATGAAATTTGTTTTCCACTTTGTCCTTTTTTAATGTCATGCACTTTTCATTTAAATTTTTAGTTCTATTTTAGCAATTTTGAGTATAATATGTGCAATTATAAAAAATGTCAAAAACAAGATTTTCAAAAATCTCAAACACGTCTCCAAAATTTTTTTTCATTGTTGGACAGGATTGTGACAAATGCATTGTATATTATGACAGAAATGCCAATTTGATGTATTTTTTTTATATTTCTCTCATATTTATTTCTCATATTTCATTCTCTCTTATTTATATTACAAGCAATCTGTATACAGTATGACATTTGTGAGATGTCCTATAGAGTTTCTTGAAAACTCAAAAGTTTCCTGTGAAAATAAGCTCAATATATTGTTTTTTCAGAAACGCTCAAATGCCATTTTCTTAAAAGCAGTACTAAATTTTATCCGATTTAAAAAATTGTCATCCAAAATTGCCATGGAGGACAAGGTTTTACTCTTCTATAATATTATTAGACATATTTCAGTTCCACCATTAGGACATCAAAAAAGTGAGAAAATGTGAAAAAATGTACTTTGGACATCGATAAGTGGCACCTAGGAAGAGGGTGGGGTTAGACCAAACCAAAGAAATTAGAAAACTAACTAGTACGAGAAAACCTGTGCCAATCTGTTGCACAGTAGTTTGATTTATTTCTTTGAAATAAATATTATCAAAGCGCATGTTAGATTGGATTGCTACAGGTATTCATAGGTATTGTTTGGGAGAAATATGATGAAAGTCTCTTTTTTGTCTAAAACATCCTATTAAACATTCTATTCTTTTATGGATACTTGAAAACGCTAAAAAATTCAAGATTTTTGATTTGTTTAAATTACAAGCAACTTGTTGAAATGTGAACCCAGTGTAACACATTTTCGTGTAATTATGAAGTGTTTTTGAAAATCAAAACCATTCAATTTGATTTCATTTCCAGCAATCCATTTAGTGAAAAATAACAATTGCGATGTCATGTTCCTGATTAAAACAAGTTATAGTGGTTTCTGTTTGTTGCCTTTCTGTTTTCTGTGAAATTCTGTAGTTTCCTTTTCTTTAAAATGTGTGAAATTCTGTGTGATCTCTTCTCGAAAATATTATCTCATTTGTAAAATGGTAATAGAATTCTTAATTCATATGTTTGCAATTAGAAAAGTTTGTTATTTTGAAAATGGGAAGAAAAAATTGTCACCCTTGAATATGATATTATATAATGAGGAAAGGAGCTCAATATAAAACTCAATTTATCTTACTTTTTTAATTTTATCTTAATCATGGATTTCTAATTTTTGACATCCATGATTAAATAATAATAATAATTAATATTTTTATGCATTCCAGAGCTGCTCTAGGCTCTCCTGGAAAATTGCTTTCTGAAATAACTCCATTAGAAAATAGCGATGATGATACCTTTGATGATTGTCTTGACAGCGACTATAAACCTGATTCAGAAGAAGATGAAATGAAACTCAAAAGTAAGGATAACTGTTGTGGAGAGTATGCTTTGATTATTCAGTTATTTATTCTCTGGGAAATTAAGAGAATGTATATTAGTTATTTCCAATGTGCACAGAAGTGGAGAGAAATTATGCAGCCTTTGCCTATGTGTCTGTGGCTTTCTTAGATACCCACAAACTCGGGAAAAATACAAAAACATTGAAACAGTTTTGATTTTGATTGGAAAATGCAAATCTTAGATTCTGTTACTCTGCCTAATTTTATACTGCATGTATTGACTGAATACTCATACTCAATGCGTCATTACTTATGACACAGCTGATGTTAGAGACATCAAGGCTCCAAGGAAGAGGCAGTTCATTGTTAAATATTTTCTATTCACATGCTGTGAAATGTAATAGCAACATTTTTTTTATTCTTGATATGTAAAGGTCAGTTGTGCAGTACATATAAAATCACCCCCAAGTGGAAACTGCCCCAAGTCAAAATGAGCAGTTTTTTCAGGAGAAGCATATAAAGATTTTGGGACAATAGAAAAAACAATAAACATTATTTCAGGAAAGTGAAAATAATTTATTATTAAACTTTTAACATTCTTTAATAATATACCATAAATTCCAATATCTTGGGTTGACTATGTATATGTATTTTTTTAAATTTAAAAATAATTGTTTTGAGTTATGGCAGTATTCTTCTAAGTGTTTGTTGCAATGTTAAGGAGTTATTGAGTATATAGTGAACACAAATTTTCACTATTTCCATTATTTTAGTGACTTCATTTAACATTCAATAAATAAACTGACTTAATAATAGGAACAAAATTACTACAAAATTACTTCCATTTAACAATTTTGATTTAGAGTAGGAACTATCACTTATTTGACCAGTTCCATGATACAATATTTCACAATCATTTGAGTTTTCTGTAATGATATTTCTTATAATAGATTTGAAACTGGGAAGGAATCTGGTTAGCATCACATAAGTCCTTATTCTTGGACTCACTTATGCCAGGATGTTTCTTATAAGCCTTTTGCATATTAAAGTATCCTGTCTGAGGAAGATCTCTGCGTTGTTACCTAGTGTTGATCTGCTGGAACTCTTAACCATACGCAATTTTATATTCAAGAATGAATGGTGCATCTTCCCTTGCTTGCATCATCTTTGTCAGTCCTTATAACTTTTCCGCCAAGTTCATTTTTGTCAAAGTTGCTACCTATTTGACTAGCTACATGTTTCAAGAAAAAGAAGTCATCTGTTGTCATGTGTTTGAGTTTTGTGTGGATTTCCAGTCGTCTAAACAGTTTGTATGATTGTTTGCACACAATGTATATTACAAGAAAACATCCAAAATTAAGATATAGCAGTATTCTATTATTTGAATTATTCAGAATGACGCGAGAGGAAAACTTAAGTACTTGCTCAAGAATTGTCATCTTTATGAGTGGAGCTGTGGCATTTTCCCAGGACACTTACTTCATTAACAGGCACTTAAGCCACCAAATAACTCAAAATTAATTTTTTTGGACTTACAGCAGTCTTCCACCGGGGGTGCGATATATACTATTGTCTGTAATATTCCTGAAGGCTGTTTTTGTTTAAATATTTTTGTTACAGTGTTACACAAGAGTATTTTATTTTGTTTGTTTGTTATGATTTGGAAAACGTTTTGTGTAGTTTTATTTGGAGGCATTTTTACTACTCCAGGCATCTAGTTGTAACTTATGTAAGATTTGGAAAATATTTCCTAGCCAGTAGCCAGGCTGTCTAATTTCAGCCAGAGTGAAGATTCAAACAGAATTCTAGGTTTCAATGATAACCATGATTATTAGAAAACGACTGTGGTGCTTTATGAGAATTTTATGAAGATGTACAAATGTCTTAAATTTCATTTTTTATGCTAAAAACCACTACTGTTTGTTTTAACACTTAATAATAAATTTTGAAACCCTTTATCATTCATCAATTAAAAAGTAAAACAATATTTTGTTTTGAGTATATTTTATTGGCTCTAAATTGAAAATTTTGTTCAAAAATTGATTCTTTAACATTTTCTTCAAAATTGATGGGGGTGGAAACATAGTTTGAATCCTCATTTCACAAATTGAATTTCAAGATTTTACATATTTCTCCATCAAATTAACTTCCAAATGCTGTACTGATGTGTTCATAATACTCTAATATGTGTATAGAAAGCATTAGGAAGTACATACACCAACTAAAAAATCTTCATTTGTACAAACTTTGTTTTACTCGGGTCACTAAAAAATGTTGGAATGAGAATTAATAGTTGACCCCGACTTCTTCAAACTTTACAGAGGAGATGGAAAGAAAGATTAACTTACAAGAAATGACCAGGAGAGTTCATCTACCAAAACTGCAAGGTTCTTACTGTACACCCTATTGACGTTCCTGCAGTGTGCCACTTATCTCAAATCTAACATTGATATATCATAAATATTTATTGTGCTTGATAAACTAAACTTCTATCTGTCCATTATTGCTGAAGTATTCTACAAAATTTTGTTTTTTATAGAGAAAAGGGCAAAGCAGAAGTTAAGTCCAGCGAAGATGAGAAAAACCAAAGGAAAGTTGCAAGCACCTCCAGAAGACTGGGGAACAGATGATAGTGACTGGGAATCATCTGACGATGAAACACAGATCAGGCGAAGAAAATCAAGTGTGTATTATCTGAAATTTTCTAGTAAATTGCCTGGAATCTTTTCTTTGTTTTTTACTTTCAACCTTATTTGGCATTTACGGTTTTTAAGGAATAAAGTGTCTGAATTTTTTTCCCCCCTCAAATAATATTATGTATTTATTTATTTATAATTAAGTGCATTGTAAACATTTAAATGAAAAGTACAGGTTGTAAACTTTCATTTTGACATAAGATTATTTTCATAACTACAAGTTTTAGTTTCTATTAATTTTAAGTGTAATCAACAATTTCATTAGTTGATTATTGCTTGCATTAACATATTTGCATACTGTTATCAGGTAAAAAGGAAATTGATGACGGCAACTTTAAAGATTATGAGTACCGCTTGAAGTGCTGGGAGATATCCAAAGAGAATGATACATTAGGGGATCATTGCCTTAGTGGAGGATATAAACTTCCCAAATCGTACTGGTCAAAGCTGTATAAGTAAGTATATGTATATGTATCAATCAATAAGCACATAAACACCTAGTGGTGCTACACATCACATACTTTCTTGCAATATTACAATGTTATTGTTATGTACATATTCTTCAATAATTTCAAACAAATTATGCAAAAACTACAAACTTGTACAAAAAATTTTACATCACCTTTTTAAAGAGCTAATTTTGTACAACAGACTTTGAATCAAAAAAATCTCTATTTTCAAATTTGTTGTTAAAAATTTTTTTTGTTGCAATTTTTGAAAAATCTGGAATATCAAGAAAAATGAGATCAGTACCACACTCTTAAACGTCCTTCATACTATTCAACAACAACAAAAATAATTATTTATTTATTGATTATATAGATAATTCTCAAAGTACAAAATAATTAAAAATAACATAATATAAACTTTGTGAGATACAATGGGTGGTAACTCTTGTCTCTTTCACAAGATAAGATAATGATCGATAAAAAGAATATGAAACAATTTTAGGCAGTGAACAATGCAGAATCGAGTATGGAGGGAGCACAAACTCTGGAGAAGGATCTAGAGAAATTACTAATGTAAACTATATGAAGCAAACTGAAAATTATTTGATTTGGTTTTTAGGTCAAATAAAGATATTGAATTTTTAAATTTGTGCTGTTAATGTATTTTGCTGCATTTTTATATTATCAAAATCAATCAGAGTGGAGAAATTCTATTCGATTTTGATATCATCAGATATAGTGAACCGAAGTGAGCCTTCAGAAGTTCACTCTAACTGGAGTCAACAGTATAAACTTATTTACAGTGTAATCTTAAAGTAACAAATTAAATATATTATTGATTAACTTTAATTAATTAAACAAAAAATCAGATTTCCTGATTCCTAGAACAATGTAAACAAAAGTCAATCTATAGTTAACATTATTTCCATAGCTATTTTAAATTCTCTTTCTTTGACATGATATCAGTGATACATTCTTCATTCAGGAATTCAGACCTTCGATATTTTTATTTTATCGAAACCTGTGAACAACCGAAGTGCAAAGATTCTGTGAATTCTTTCCATGTTTGTTTCTAAGTAATCTTGTGTCATTCACATCAACAATTTTATTGCTTAATTATGGTTTTTAAAACAAATGACATTAAGTGAATATTAAGTGTAAAGCAAATTTAATTTAAACAGGCAAGACACATTGACAAATTGTGAAAATGCTTGGGAGATCTGACAAGTTGCATGATGCGTGCATTGCCATACAATTTGCTTTGGGGTTCTCAAAGAATAAACATAAAATATACAGTTATTGTAATATTCATGAACGTTGTTTATTAAAATTTAAATATTTAATTTCTTGTAGTGTTATACAAGTGATTTATTTGCTGTTCTTAAGCAGTATACTTGCTACTTTTTGGAAAACCATTTTGTGTAGTTTTGTTTAGCAGCATGTTTGTTGCTGCAGGCCTTTAATAAGATATCTACTACACTTTCTCACACCGATATTAAACCTTTATCACTTTTAAATGCTCTTAATTAGTAGTGTAATTAAGAGCCCATTATGGAGCTTCTATAGAGTTCAAATATTTTCGTTCACAAACTCAGAGATAACATCCTCTTGCATATTCTGTTTTCTACGTGTGATGAGTAATCAACTTTTTCACATGAAATATTTAACAAAATCATCTTTTTCCTACAGTGACAACCCATTGTTGGAAATATTCGCATTAATATATTTTCTCTACATTACTCAAATCTGAATTTTGAGTTAACACTCTACTCTAAGCTCTTCATTTATTTCATTAGTTGTGAATGCTTTTCATGACCTAATGTGGTTTACAGATTCCAGAAAGTTGGAGTGCAGTGGCTGTGGGAGCTTCATCAACAAGGTTGTGGTGGTATTCTTGGTGATGAAATGGGACTAGGAAAAACTGTGCAGATTATTTCATTTTTAGCTGGTCTTTCACATAGTCGTTTAATGTCAAGACATAAAGGGTAAGAAAGAAAAAGGGTATTTTTATTCTATTATGATATAAAACTGGTTGATATAATAACTACATTGCTACCAATTGTTTGAACAGGTTTCGAGGTCTGGGACCTACTCTTATAGTATGCCCTACTACAGTATTACATCAATGGGTCAGTGAGTTTCATACCTGGTGGCCACCATTTCGCGTTGCCATTTTACATGAATCAGGATCATTTTCTGGTGAGTCACTGATTAAATTGTAATAATAGGGTTATGTAATTGCTTTTAAGTTTTAGTCTTAAGTTCAGTTTATGTAAAATGCAGTTTAGTTTTAGGAATTGGTGACCAAATGGAATAGTTTGAAATTTTTTGACATTGTTAAATATAGAATGAAGTGAAGAAGACTTCAGTTTCATATCTCTCTTAATAAAAGTAGAAAATTATTAATATATCTGAATATTTAAATATTAATAGCCTGGTGTATGATATATGTGTAATTAAAGATACACGGGTTAGTAATGATTATAACCTGGAAGCTTTGGCATTTATTTTACTTAAACTAGGCAGGGAAAATGGCTTTAAAAAAATTGTTCATTTATTTAATAATTTTTTATGAAAAAGTCATTTATTCTGGCTAAAGTACGGGTGTAAAGCACAGGAAACATTGAAAAATCATTATTTAAAAGTATTGTAAAAGATTAATAGTTAAAATGATTCACGATTTTATTCTTAGCAATGTTGACTGCATGTGACTATCCGGTATGATGACTACTATTGTGGATTCCCTTTTGAATCTTGAAATTCTATCATTAAAAACAGAATTATAGATTTCGTTCTTTGCACTTGAATAATTGGCTGTTGGGAAGAGAGAACAAGAAGGAACTGAGAAGGATATATCGTGTACAATGCTCTGTACTCAAAAGGAATCTGAGGCCATACTCAAACATAGGACGAGTTTCTTGTGAGGGAACAAGGCTGTTAAAACATCAATGAAAATCATCAAAAATCTTCATTGGTACCTTCTTCCTTTTCCTTTTAGATTTTTAACACAACCTGCGTGCGGCGATGATGTCATGGTTAGCGTACTGGACTGTTGAACCCAAGTTGACGGTTTTAAACCCAATCGAAGATTTTTAAGGGCGAAAAAATCCTTCGTACGCCTTCCTCGGAGGGGAAGTAAAGCCGGCTCTCCCATGTTAGTAGATTTACTTGCATGTAAAAGATCCTCAAGCCTAAATGACGCTTCTGAGCTAAATTCAAATCGCCTGTTTCTCGCCCAAATACCTCCTTTCTCTGCTAGTTAGTGAAAGAAGCATAGCCAAATTTGTGTGGTCAGACGGAAGAGCAAGCCTCATGGCCTGAGTCTCGCCACGTGAAATAAGGCATCAATTCAATTCAATTCAATTCAACTCATCCTGATACTGATCCTCTGCATCTACAGAAAGACAATACACAACCGCGCCTTCATGTTGTCCAGGCTTGCAGGTATAATTCCAGCTAGATTGAGTTTGGTGCCTGGAGGAGAAAAGGGGAAAATAATGACAAAAAAGGCAGAAAAGGCACAAATAAGGCAAAATGCCAAAAATTGGCATCTGTAGCTAAAATAGGCAAAAACAAAGGCAAAATGAAAATCTACTAAAAACAACTCCAGAAGTACAATTAAGTGATTACTATAGTCAAAAGTCATAAAATTGTAACAATAATATAAAGGCATTTGGCCTAACTTCTGGGCTCTATTAATGATATAAGGGTACAGAAAAATGATTTTCTCAATAAATATAAAATTATGTTATTTAAAAAACAATTGAAATTACATACAAGTGAAAATACATAAAACATTGAACCTGAATCTGGGGACTGTTCATGCATGCTCACTATCCACTGGACAGATTTAACATTGCTATTATATTCATATATATTCATTCATATTATAACATTGCTATTATAACTCAATATTAACATTGATATTATTCTTATTGTTAAATCATGTTTATTTATTTTTCAAAATGTTTTTTTATTAATTTTGTTAAATTGTAGTGTGAAATAACCTATCTGATGTGTTATACAATCAAGACTCATAAATATTATTATTAACAGAATATTTCTACAATATTTTTAGCAGAGAGGAGAAGGGAGGTCTTTATTTGATCAATTGAGTACTTTTCAGGTAAGAAGGATCTTCTTATTCAACAAATATCGTCCAAAGGTGGTATTTTAATTACTTCTTTTACTGGGGCTGTCCAGCATTGCTCACAACTCACTACAAAAAATTGGCATTATGTAATTCTGGATGAAGGACACAAAATTCGAAACCCTGATGCTCAGGTATGGATGACTCATTTATTTATGCAGATAGAAATTAATTTGACGATTTGATTGAAACTGAATATTGTAAACTAATGACTTGTTTTCCTGATCGTTGTAGGTAACTTTAGCAGTAAAACAGTTCCGAACTCCACATCGGATCATCCTCTCTGGGTCTCCAATGCAGAATAATCTTAGGGAACTATGGTCTCTTTTTGATTTTGTGTTTCCTGGCAAGTTAGGGACATTGCCAGTATTTATAGCACAGTTTGCTGTTCCAATCACTCAAGGAGGATACAGTAATGCATCAGAAGTGCAGGTATATAATACACACATTACACAAAATGATAATAAATTGATGATTCATTCTGTATGAGATACTGGGAAGTAAGGGAAAGAAGAAATAATTTAAAAAATACAACTAATAAATAAATGACTTCATGTATAATAATGTATTATACACGAAGGAATCTTAGAGATTTTGTTGGACTAAAATACAACATAATATTTGGTTCGATACTCTTAGTAGAAATTCTTATATTTGTTATTGAATCAAGCCCTACTTTTCAACACTCTGTGTTCCTCAGGAATCTGATTGTACCTTTTACTATTTTCAAAGTGCAATTAATGATATTGATGAAGTTATTTCAGTTTTCTTCTTGTTTGTGTTTATGAGGTGAAACTTTTACTTTATAAGCATTGAAACTATTTGAAAAGTTAACAGAATAATATGATGTTGTTTTTACATCGGCGTGAGGACAATAAATGAATGTTTAATCAAAATAAATTATAATGATGCCATTTCATAAAATCTGATTGTACTGTGTGAAAAATTAATTAGTGATTGTTCTTGAAATTGTCCATGATGAGATATCTGGGATTCATATTGAACAAAAATGTCATTTACCCTTTTAGATATGAAGTGTTTTTCCTTCTGCAATCCTGGCAGTTCAGACCTTTTTAGTAGGCAAACATCTTTGACTTTGGCAGATTTTTAATTGCAGTGAGTGTTGACAAAGACTGAGGTGGGCTAGTCTTGCATAAGAAGGCAAATAGTGGCTAATGGTATTGAGGCACTGTGAGGCAATGTATATTTCGTATACGGGTTAAAATAAGTTTGAGAGATGTATGCCTGGAGAAACAGTGATGGATTGTATGCTAAGGCATGGAAATATTAGGACACTTTAATTATTATTATTATTATTATTATTATTATTATTATTATTATTATTATTATTATTATTATTATATCAATAATAATATTAATAACAACAATTATAAAAATAATAATAATAATAATATATAATGCAGTGATTGAAATATTTAAATAGGAATACAGTATTTTTAATGTTTTTATTGCTCTGCATTTGATTCTACCATATAGCATGATAACATCTGCTGCCAAAACTAGAGTATAAATATATTTCTGGCACCATTCAATTATTGGAAATGCTTCTGAATTAACTTAACTTAAAGTAGTATATTATTGAACATATTTGTGCAAGTTAATTGCTGTGTGTAAAATAATTCTGTTACAGATTGCAAATGTAAATAAAATTTATTTATGAAGGTCAATAATACCATCATATTCTCGTTTTTCATCATTTCAAAAATAAAAATACATCACTGACCTAAGAAGTGTAGTTTGCAAAAACATCTGAAAATGAAATGTTTTTCTTATTTTCCCGCGGAAAGAAGTTGCTCATTTACATACAAACTAACTTCTCAAATTTGAAGAAAATTGTTGGGATTTCATAAGCAATCTCTGAAGCCACCTCCTCCTCGTATTCTTCTTTTGAGATTTCTTCTTCTGTGTTAAGACAGGTCTGTGTTAGGTGAATGTAAGCGATCCACGACCTCTTAGTTTGCTTCTGAAGTCATGGCACATGGTTATTGGGTGAAATGTCACAGTGGCCCATTATCACTCATAACATGTTGGAACCCATGCATATCAACACTTCCCTTGCATTTGCATAGGCTGGAGAATTGCCACAGCTCAGTTTGTTATCCTCGATAAGCAAGATCTGTCACACGACTGGAAGTCAGCCGAGAAACCTCCCATTTGCATGACTGGGCTGAAAATTTCTGGGGAAACAGTCTCCCATTTGTAACTAAAACGTTAAATCTCACCATAAAGAATAATTACTAATGTTTAATAACATTAATAGTTCTTTTTAGACAAGATAAATGTTAGATATAAGAAGAATCTGCATATCTATTGCTTTTGAATTATGCATTCCAAATTAAATTAGTTGTATTTACTTGTCTCATAACATACTGTAGTTGTGGAAATACAGTGGAATGTAAAAGAAAAAGAGATTATGTGATACGTAGGAAATAGATTTGTGAAGTATCTTAAATTAATTATTAGGATGATATCTTGAAGGGAGATAAACAATAAATAAAACCTAAATAAATGTATGTGTGGTTTCAACATTTTTAATTGTGCTTTGTATGTTATTTTAAAATTCTTAATACCACATTATTATCATATTGTTAAATTAAAGATAAAAAAGCTGTTATTTCCACTTTTTCCAGGATATAAAGTGATGACCTCATAATTTTGAAGAGACCCCTTAAGAATTTTTTTCATTTTTAACCCATTTGAACTCGTAACATGCATAATAATATAGCAGATTGGTTTGTTGATGAGATAGCCGAGATGTTTTGATTAAGGAATCACTATTTTTGCTTTCCTTGTAATAATCAACAACATTATTTTTGTTTCTACTATCATGTCATCACTTGTATTATCGTTTTAGCATCACCTGAGTGTTTTGCATATTAAATGTGTAATTCTTTGCCTTTCATCTGACATTGCCTAAAAATATTTCTTTCTGTGACACCTAATTTTCTTCTTGCCACTGTTGTTCAAGGCCTCGCATTTAACAACTATTTATCTGAAATTCTAATGTACGCATGCATGATGGAATTAAGAATAGCAAACTTCTAGATCCCCCATACTTCAACAAATCTCAGCCACGATTTCCATTAATTTTCATGTTACATTTCATATACTATAATGCCATTAATGGAAGATTCTTTCTTTACTGATATGTTCAGAATTTTTGCACTGAGTTGCCCAATACATTCTTGGAAGATGCTAAGTTGCTTGAATATTATTAGGTGTTATAAATAGGCATGGTTTATTATCATGCTTACAACTTGTCTAAGTAAACATTCAAGTTTCGCATCGGGGAAAGGCAATGTAAAAATATTGATCCTTATTGACTAGGCTTAATCTAATGTAATGTAAGATGATCCCATATGTTTCAAATGAATTTAAAAAACATCCTCTTATATTTGGGTAAATATGATAAATACAATAAGTGCAAGAAAAAATATGTTATTCAAAGGTACATAGAAGTGGTAAAACTATTTTGAATTCAGCTAAATACTTAAAAAAAAAAAAAAAAAAATCTATTTGAGCAGAAGTTTCTAGACCTTTAGTATTTGATATTTAAAATACTAAGAAATTCCCAAAATATCCTGTAAAACAGCATGTTTGTTAAAAATTATTTTTTTCACTATTTTTATTTGCACAATCTCTTAAATTCAAAAAGTTTCAAAAAAAATAAAAGTCTTATTAGAGACTATTATCATTGAAGTTTGGGGATTAATAATTGTGAGCATAAAACTAAATGAGTCTATATTGTAAAAATTATTTAAATCACAGAAAAAAATTATTTTGTGCTTGATACTGGAAGTTGATCCAGAGAGCTATAATACTATGAAACTCGATTTTTTGAGGATATTTGAAAGGCAATAGAGTTTTAAAATTTCAACCTGTCAAGAGCTGTCACACCTTGTTTATTCTGTTTCTTCATTTACCTCTATTATTTCTCTTCTTTTGAACCTACGAATGACCTGTTATTTATATCTTTTAGGAGGTAACCTTATCTTTGGTTGTGAAGCAATTTCTTCTTTCTTGAATTTGTACTAATTATAATTGTAAAAATTGAATTATTGATACATTGATTATTTTATTTTTAAAAGTTCATAATATTAAATAACTTTTTCGTATTGTAGGTTGCTACTGCCTTCAAATGTGCAACAGTATTGAGAGACACTATTTCTCCGTACTTACTTCGCCGAATAAAAAGTGATGTTAAAACGCACATTCAGTTGCCAGCTAAGAACGAGCAAGTGCTGTTCTGCAAACTGACTGAAGAGCAAAGGGATTTATACAGGACATATCTGGACTCTGGAGAAGTATCTCGTATTTTGCAAGGTCATGCTCGAATTTTTGTTGGCCTCATCAATTTACGAAAAATTTGCAATCATCCTGATTTATATTCAGGTGGAACCAAACTATTTCGTGGAGTGAGTGCACCAGATGATTCATTAATGAGAACTAATGGTGCTACAACAGCACATATCTTCTCACATTATTTTTAAGTGCTCCACCATATTATAGTACTATATAAACAAGCAAAAATGTTATCAGCCTGAAAAAATGTCCTTTGGCTAGCAATCGATGACAGTTGGGAAGAGAATATGACAAAACCAAAAAACTGGCCCTCACCAAAGAAATTAGAAGACTAATGAGTACAAGAAAGTCTGAGCTGTAATATAGCACCACTAGTTTTATTATTAATATTGCAATGTGCTGTTGTAGCACCATTAGTTCTTAGTTTAACTCTGTGACTTACCTTATCTCAGTTGTTTAACTTTTCTGTTTCCATAAAAATGACAGTAATGTAATTATAAACCAGAAAAAAAATATTTTTTTTGCACTAAGATTCAAACTCAGACCCTCTGAGTTAACTCACCGTTAGCCATATGCTGCAGAAGGAAAGATTCCCAACATGCAGTTTGTACAATTTTTGAAAATATGTAGAGTTTGATGAAAATGTCAATCTTTTGCTCTCATAGTAACTCATTTTCCGTACCTACTGACCTGAATTTATGAGAAAACTTGTTGCTTTAGTTTACACCCTGAAGAAACTTTCAAACATGCATGAGCATTATGGTATTGCACTATGGTTATCTGCAACATGAATTTTTCTCATATGAGTTAAACGACTCAAAATATCTGTCCTAAGTAATAACAATGCTTCCCAAATGTAGGAAGAAAATGAATTTACAATGATCTCCACTGCTTTTTCACTTCTTATTGTGTTTCATCCCAAAATTGCCTACAAGTAGTTTTGACCATTTAAGTTACAAAATGTACTTTTCTGCTGACTGTGAAGCCAGGTGTCTGTTTAGAGGGAATATTTGCAGATACATTAGCATAAAAATTTTGATCTTATGGGAAATGATTGTTAATAGTGTGGGCTGTTTTATCAAATTTCACCACAATTAGTTTGTAAAGTAAATTATAGATGTGTTTAGCATGTAGTGTGTTATGAGAAGAAAAATCAAATTATTACTTGTTTTAATTTGTTCCTTTTCATCCTTTCATTTCCTTTCTTCCGTCCATTTCATTCTTTCAAGAGGAAGATGTGAAGTCATCAATATTTTTGTTTGCGTAACTAATCAAATAATAGATTTTTATTATCCTTGATTGTCCTGAACTGGTATCTATTTTGTGTTGTTTTCTTTTTAGGAGAAAGAAGAAGATCTTCCAGAGGAACAAAGATATGGATATTGGAAAAAATCAGGAAAAATGATTGTGGTGGAATCATTGTTAAAAATCTGGAAGAAACAAGGCCACAAAGTCCTATTGTTCACCCAAAGTCGACAGGTTTGTCTTTTGATCATTATATTCATTTTAACATGATTTTTTTCTTGTTTTTTATTTGACTTTTTTAACCTCATTTTAAATTTTAAAAAAATTTCAAATGATATTTGATTGTATTTAAAACCTTGTTAATCAGTGTGATAAACATGAATTTCTTTTGATCTTACATGATTCACATTAAAGTAATTTCTTGGTTATTATGTGATGTAAAATAAATTTAATTCGTATATTTAAAATTGACCTTTCAGATGCTTTGTGTTCTTGAAGCATTTGTCCAGAAAGAAGGTTACTCTTATTTGAAATTGGATGGTGGGACTTCTGTAGCTGCGAGACAACCTCTAATCAATAAATTCAATCAGGTAATTTATCAAACTATGAGCAGAATTTTCTAAAGTACTTTTTAATATATTTGGTTGATGTTGTTTTGGAGTGTTAATAGAGATTCTCTGTAACCAGGACCCATCATATTTTGTATTTCTATTGACAACAAGAGTGGGAGGTTTGGGAGTTAACCTTACAGGAGCTAATCGTGTGCTCATCTTCGATCCTGATTGGAATCCTGCCACTGATACTCAAGCTCGTGAGCGTGCATGGCGCATTGGCCAGCAAAACCAGGTTACTGTGTATCGCCTTGTAACAGCAGGAACCATTGAGGAAAAGGTAATCTGAATACATTGGTTATTATATTTTATGTATTTGTGTCAAAAAACACTACTGTATGGCACATGTTGGAGAATATAATCTATGCCCTTTTTCTTGAGCTCCAGAATCCATTCTCCATCCTTTTACTCTACATAGTTGAATGATGAATGAAAGAACCAAACAAAACAAGGTTAGCAACATTTAAAAACTATACATTTTCAATCCCAAGTTTTAGAAAACTAATTTGTTAAATAAATGACACCTTTGCTTTTATAGTGTTGCTAATAAAATAGCAACCTACACCTCTGACTACTACTACCACAACTTGCGAAACGAGAGCTCAACAAAATGCAAATGGTAGAGCTACATTTATGTCCAGAACCAAAACAAGGAACCATCTCAGCATTTGCTCAATACATCAGGAAAAGTGGACAAAAACAAGATTGGATTATTGACCCAAAAGCTGAAGTACATTTCCGGTTTATTAGTCTTTTAATTATACAGTACTCACGATAAATACTTCATTAAATATCATTCCTAAAATAAATATTTTTTCCCTTTTGATGGTCAGCATAGTCTGTAAATGTATAGAAACAGTTATGTAACAGAAAAAAAATTTACTTGTAACTTAAACTTGTGTTTGGGTTTTGTTTAATTTCACCTGGCACGTTGAAGTAAATCATGATGAAGTAATGTACATGTGTGGATTTCTTGTAGTGAGCTGATACCTGATGAATGTGATAACTATGACGCATTGTAATTATATATATCTACATTTCATAAAAATATGCTCCAACTCTTATGTAAGACGCTTTTGACAAAAGCTGCAGATTGTAAATAAGTAGGCAAGGCAGTGGCCAACCATGAAGATTTTGCTGCAGAGAGCGAGAAAGAATTAGTTTCGTTCCAAGAGTCAAGGTGAGATCAACATTTATAGGATGTAGAGGAAGGAGCATGGGCGAGAAATACCCATTTCTACACTGATTCTGGCATTTGATCTTCCATCTTTCCCGAAAAGAATCTCCTGTGGTTTCTACAACCACTGCATGTGGCAATAGGTGCCTAATGTTTGCAGTGATTCAAGTGTCAAAGGTGCGTTCATACCCAGCAACGGGTTCATGGCCGAAAGCCCAATGTGCAGAAAATCGATGCACGAAGCAGAATCCTGAGCTACACCACCGCATTGTGATATCTGTGAAGGCGATCAATGCTCAGCCATTGTAGTCGACCAAATCTATATCTAAGCATCTGTCAATGGAAGTCGATCCGTTGTCAGGTATCCGTCCTAGTCCTGATTTCTAAAAGCTCGTCATCAAAGCCCCGACCATTTACACCTTAGGTACTTACTCTGAGCGAGCATCCTCGCAGGGGCCACAAGTAACCTACTCCGGAGGAAGCTTGCCCATTCCGGAGCACACCTGAAAAAGAAAAAAGTAACCTAATAACATCACAGCTCATCTGTCATGCAATAAGAATGGTTTCTCCTCGCAACGGGGCGATCTAAAACGGTTGTCGCATTACAATCCTCTGAAAATCTCTTGAGAAGAAACACACCTCATCCTGTCTCTTCGCGGTTTTTCCCTTATAGGTTCGATGTTGATGATGGTCTCCATGCTCATGCTACATTTGTTCATGATTCTCTGCTTCTACAGAGGTAGTTCCTCAGATCGACCTTGAAACTGTGCAGCTGTACCTCCCATCCTTCACTCGCAGTCTATAAAATCTTCATCCTTTCAGAACAGTGTGTATTCGCTGATAAACGTTTGGGCTTGATAAACCAACCTTCCTCTTCATCTCTGTTCTTGATAGTCGTGGATGTAAATGCCCCAGTCCTCTTTGGGGCTGTTCCCGCACTTGTCTGAGAGGCGACATATTGGAATCGGTAATAGACACCTTGAACTTGGTTATTGTGTATTCAGGCGGAACAACTCACTTCGCCATAGCCACAAAATCTAGCTCTCTGCAGCCCTTCTGTTGGAACTATTTTGCAAAGGTCCATTCTTGATGACCTGTGTGGAAGTGACCATTACCCCACCCACTATCATCCACTCTGATAGCCTACAACACCACTTGGAGGTACGTCCTTCTGCGAACCCTGTACTCTTCGTGATTTAGGGACAACCTCCCTCTATTCCTCCAAAACTTCCTTTGGAACACATCCTTCCATGTTCGTGTGGTGATTAGGCTTTCTAATAGTCACCATCTTGATAATGGTGTCCCTCAAGGATTGGTTCTGATGGTCACTCTTTTGCCATTGCCATAAATGGAATAGCATTGAATGTGCGAGAACCTGTATAGGTATTGTTGTTTGTGAATGATTTTGCCATCTTCTGTTCATCCAGCAGCATCAGTGTGATCCAGAGGCTACATCAACTGGTGCTTAACAAGCTCCACGAATGGAGCACATCAACAAGGTTTCATTTTTCTACAAACAAATCTGCTGGTATGCATTTCTGCAGGAGTACCTCTCGCATTGCAATCTAGTCCTTTACTTGGGAGGAAATCAATTTCCATTCGTTCAATCTGCCAGGTTCCGGGGGTTCATGTTTGACAAACCCTTTATGTGGCATGCTCATATCCGTAGAATACAAACCAGATGTGACTTCCCTTTAATCTTCTTTGTATTCTGAATCGTACATCATGTCCTCCCTTTCCCCAAGACGTCTTTCACAAGCATCAGAGCTGCCTCCAATTCTAGTCTCGATATAGAAATAGTTTTCAGGGGTGTTGCCTTTGATCTTGCATAAACCAATCTTGACATGTATTGGCCTTCAGGTGTGCAAAAGTCGCATAAACACAGGCTCCAAATTCCTTCTCTGACGCATCAAATATCCATGTGGGTTAAACACATGTACTGTTTTGCTGATTGACATTACTTTCAATCTCTATCTCGTTCAGTTTTTCGAATGCAAAGCTTTTGTTATCTCACTCTCCAAAGATAGAAGAATCCCATCTACTGCCCAGTCTCTCTCACTGTGTTTGCAAGCTCTTAGAGCTAATGGGAAACGTTTGTTTAGTCTGGTTCCTGGAACACAAACGTGCTTACACCTATCTAATGTGGTTTCAGAAGTCAATCATGGACCAACTAGTTTCTCAAGCTAAACTGATCTCTACTTTCATGCTCTGGCAACATGTTGTAGCAATTTTCTTTGACATTGAGCTTTCGACACCACCTAGAGGCAAGACAGACTTAGCTCCCTGCATTCTTGGGGACTTAGGGAAAGACTCTCACTGTCGTGCGTGAATTTCGAGTCTTCAACGTTTTTCTGCATGTCTTGAGGATAGAAGTCATGAGTTGGAACTCATCCTCCAGTCATGAGTTGGAAAACACGGTCGAAGAGGAATTGATTCTTAGTATCACTATTTGCCATTCCTATGGACGGTATAGTGTCAGTTAAACGAGAGCTGATATTTTTTTCTTTTCCTTCTCTCCTCCAAGAGGTTTTTGAGAGGCAATTATAACTTGCCCATAACGAATTGCAAGAATGGAGCAATAAAACTAGATTTAAGTTCTCCTCCCCAAAATCCAGCTGCATGCATTTATGCAGAATTCATCACTTTCATAACCTTCCAGATCTTTTTCTTTTCTAACTTCCTTTTGTCAAGTTTGCAATTTTCTGTGACCTTACATTTGACAAGAGCTTAACTTGCTATAAAATCACACAAACGGAAGAGCTGATGTGTGACACCATTAAACCTCTGTACCCTTGATGGTAGCTCATGAGGTGCATATCATGAATGTGTCTAATGTTAGTAAGCATCTGCATCAACGCTCCAGGCATTGAATACTATCCGTAATGCACATGTGTCTGCACAGGTGCCTATTGCATGAACCGCGTCGAGTAGTTCTTAGCTTGAGTTTAGAGAAACCTCTCTGAGTTGATAGTGTGATATTTTAGTAGGTTTTATGGTGTGAAACTGTCATCTGTGGCTATCTTTCACTCCAAGGAGTCAACTCAAGTCACTGGAGATCCTGTGTACCCAGTCCATACTTCCATTCCAGTTCCATCTCCCGTGGATCCTCTTCGACACTTTTGCAAAAACTCAATGTACAATTCCCCAAACCTGTGAAATCCCACTCCGGTCTCCCCTGGAAGTCCGGTTTCCCCTGGAAACGTTCCTTGCTTGTAACAGACGTTTAAATGGCCAGTCTCCCTAAAACAACTCCCCTAGTACTTATTTAAAACAATTTCAGGACATGAAGTTCATGTAACCTGTTCTCATCCTTACCACTGATCACTTACTTTCCTCATACTTACCATCCTCATCAAACCCCTGATGGTTTCTCAGAAAATGGTAAAGTATGATGTGATTAGTACTGTCCTAGTACCATGTGGAGCTTTTGTATGGACTCTTCTTGCAGTATACAGTATATTCTGCAGAGAAATATGTGCTTTGGGAGGCACTAAAATACACTTGATTGGCATCATTACGGAAAGCAGCGGTGTGCAGTGGTTCCAAACATGATCTCGAATCCATCTCACCCTACTCATCTTGCGACCTCTTAACAATGAAAATCCTGTATAAAATGCAGCATCAGATCAATTTGGTTCTTTGTTGGGTTGCTGGCCATGTGGGTATAACAAAAAACCAAATAGCTTGCAGGCAGCAAAGTTGGCCACAAAGAAGCCAGAGTAAATACAATATCTGTAGATGATACTAAGTATTTTATCTCATGTTCCACATTCAGGGCAAGGCAAAGAATGACAGGATCTAGATTATGTGGGATGCTTAGAGAATAAAGGAGTCTATAAACATTGGGCTTTTTCATCTCGTGGTGCCAAGTGCAAGATCATTCTAACATGCCTTTTTACTCTGCTATTTCTTTCATAGGTATCTTCTCTGTGGTGATCCACTTCCTACTTGTGCTTTCTGCTAAAGAGAGCTTAGAGTGGAGTATGCTCTTGTCCACTGCTGTAAAGCCAGAGACTTTTGGATAGAACAAACACGACAGGTATAAAAGGATGGGGGCAAAACGAAAAGGCTAGCCGAAACTAGTACGAGAGAGTCTGTACCATTCTGTAGCACCACTAGTTAAAGAAGTGGCCCCAACTTTTTTAACCATTCTCTAGGAAAGAGCAAACTGCACGATTATAGGAAATTTAAATTATTTTTCGTGAAAGAGTGAAGATGTATGGGGGGGGGATATAATCTGTGCACATTTTGTTGAGCTCCAGAATCTCTTCCCTTCCCTTTTACTGTACATAGTTGAATGATTAATAAAAGTTGCAGCAAATCAAATTTGAAAACTAGACATTTTATCTTGTGAATAATATAAAACTTATGACTCAGTAAGTGAACTATAATTGTTTTTTAGTGTTTCTAACAAAATAGCAAACCACACCCTGGCTCTAATCCAATATTATACATGTGTAATTGTTTTCAAACCACAACACACAATTGTTAATGTATACATTATAGATATTTTTATTGATGCATAAAATGTGCCTGTTGGTTAAATTTTTTCTTCGTTCAGCGATGGGAAGAACTAAAGGGATCAATTTAAACTTGCTTAAAAATATTTAGAATTGTTTCAGTTTTAAAGAATATTTCTGTTACATGCATTTATTTGTGGACTTTCTGTGATATGTACAATTTCCTTTTTTTTTCTTCTAGATTTATCATCGGCAAATTTTTAAGCAATTTCTGACAAATAAAGTACTTTCAGACCCTAAACAGAGAAGATTTTTCAAGTCAAATGATCTTTTTGAATTGTTCACTTTGAAAGAAGGGGATCAAGAAGGCAGCACAGAAACTTCAGCAATATTTGCTGGCACAGGATCCGAGGTAATAAATATCATTGGGCCATAGTGTTTACGAGATTAAAATAACGAGATTTAATGAATTTATTGAGATTTAAAGAATTTTCCTTCCCGGTTCTATCTTTTTTGATTGTTGAGTTTGTAGAATCCACCTTTGCCACCTCAAGAAACGATGACTTTTAAGATAATACCAAAAAACAAAAAAATTGCAACCAAAAAACAAAACAAAATTAAATGTTTTTCAGTTGTTTACTTATATCTAAGATCTATGCCCTTCATTGATAATACTATCACATAGAAAATTAAAGTAGATGAAATATTAGTTTTAATTTATAAGCCAATGTAAAATAATGGGAGACATTACTTTTGGAAGTATCCTCTGAGTATAGAGAATGTTATGCGATGCCGCGGAAAATCTATTTCGAGATTTCAGTGGATGTATCATTTCCGTGAATCTGAGCTAAAATATTTTTGAGGCCCCCTTTTGTACTGTCAACAATAACATTTTTGAGATTGGAGAATTTAATGTTATTTCAAATTGATTAAACAATTAAAACATGCCTTCAAATAATAGTTTTATTAAAATATTAGATTTAAAAATTGGTAAGAATTGTCTATAATTAAAATTATAATAAATATAAATTTGTATATTGTTCTAAAATTTCAACAAATTTGCTTTTTTGTTTAATAATTTTTGAGGCCCGAAACTGTAGTTTAGTTAAATTAATGGTAAATCCACCACTATTTTCACAGATACATATGTTTTGGGGTTCCCTGATTCGATTTTTTGTAAAAACATCTGCCCATTCCAGAAAAGCCTGAAAAGCTGGCCAGAAGAATAAAACTCAAATTTCTACATACATACTTACGTAAAGCACTACTACACACATGACATTATGTCACCATTCAAAAGAGGACCAAATTCTACTTTCAATCTGTCAATTTTGAAAACGTGAGTTTACTAACTGCTCTTTTGCATTGTTTCAAAAATACCTAAAAATCACTTCTCATGTAGTTTTCACACAATTCTATGTGAAATATGGGCATTTTTAAAAACCTTTTATTAAAAATGTCATTAAAAATTTTCTTAGAACTTTTTGGACTGATAGTGTGCACTGTATAATTAATGTCATTTTGATATATTCTTTCAATTTTTCAAAAATTAGACAAATGTAATTTTTTAAATAATATCTCTCATATCATTAATATTTACATTATGAATGTTTTATGTATTATTGTACTTACATGTATAGAGTGATTTTTATAAGAATGAGCCAAAGTGACAGTTCGCTAAACAAATGAACATCATGTGCAGTGCAGAGAAGTATCCCTCCGCTATGGCAGCTATTCACATACGCCCCTCTATAGTGTTTAGTGCTTCGGTGAAGACATCATTATACAGAAATCTAAGAGTTTTGCTGAGGTATATGCACGTACACAAGTGCGGGAAACATTGAAATTTATGTATGTATGTATTATGTATGTGTATTACGTATGTGGAAAACTGTTCTCATATTTATAAAAGAAAACTGCCAGAAATGTAAATAGAAAGAAAAATTATTTTTCAGGGTATGTTTAAATACCTTTTCTGGTTGTTTCACAGCGAATGGCTCATGCATTTTTGTAGTAAAGTTCTTATAATTATAACACCGCGCCTATCAATATTTAGTACTATGCTCTCATGACTCAAAAATGACTTAATTAATGTTTTATATGTCACTAATGTTCTGCATGTTAATGTTTTCCTTAATTTGAACAAGGAGGATGCCCTTTGTGCCCACTCTGAGTTTTCATGGTTCACAACCATGACACAATTATATAAAAAAAATATAAAAAGCAAAGCATGGAACCATGAAACGCTCCGGAACGCAGCTCTCCACCTTACAACACAGGAGCCGGAAACACATGCACCACCACCCATACGCATATCACGTTCAATACTCTGTTTTAAAATTAACATAATACTTATCACCCAAAAACTGAACTGATTGTGCCTTGTTAGACAGGGACTTGGGGCAGATTAGCTAAAGTACGTGGACCTTCACTGAGTACAATCTTTGGTTTAATTCAGGAACTGGGTTTCACACCCAGAACAGTGGGACAAGAATGGAAGTGGGGCCAAGAAATATCATGGACAAATTCGTAAAGGTACAGGATTGTGGTATTTGGGGTGCAGGAAGGTGCTTTTCAGTGGTAATGCCTCTGGATGTGTGGTAGGTACTGTGAGAAACATTGGTAGTCTTCCGGCACTGAAGAAAATAGGGAACTAACTAGTATGAATAAGCCTGTAGCACCACTAGTTTAGATAAAAGAAAAAAACAGAAAAAAGTTTGCTTATTTTCTTTTTCTTCTTCTTTCTTCATTGATTTCTGTGAAGCCGACTTTTTTTGAGGTGGCAAATCGTAAATTTCATTTCAGCACCCCAAAATGTTAGAACTGGTGAGAAAAAACTTTTGGAATAACTTCCTGGTTTTGGCCCTTTTGAGCACTCGTTTGAACTATACGTTGTAATCTCTTAATCCTATGAAGTTTCCATTTTAACCATGCTTTTGAACATTCAAAAACTGCAGAAGCTAATACCGATTATAAGTAAATCATGCAGTTCAGGTCCACTAAAGTTCTTAATGTTGTCTTGGTTTTCCTTTGCCATTTTCAGATTTTTATTTTCTTATTTTTTATGCATATTATTTATTAGAATATAAATTGTGTGATGACCTCTTTGTACCAACTATGTATTTCTAGGTTCAGTGAATATGTATATATCATGTCAATGTCACTTTGAGTTTTGATAGTTGTTTTATGCCATTATGAATTATGATTTACATCATGTTTCTGTGTAGGTGAAATTAAAGAAGCTGAAAGAAAAAATCAAAGAAAAGAAAAGGAAAGAAATTCATGTAAGAATGAAAATAGATGCTGCAAAAGTTCACAACCCATCCCAGGATTCAATTAAATTTTCCAAGGCACAAATAGAAAGAATGAAAAAACTGAGTAAAAAAATTGCCCAGGGAATAAGTAAAACAAAAGCCAGTGAGAAAGAAATGAACAGTTCTGGGCAAGAGTTTAAGAAATTAAGTACTGTAGAGAATGGCAGCAAAACAATTTTCAAAACTAATATTAATTCTGAGGTTGCAACTGTAACTTCTAGAGATCTAGAAGTAACTAAAGCTGCTCATGATGTTGTGGAGTATTTACTTACTGAAGTTGTTAAAAACATTCAGTGCTCTGACGAGAATGGAGGTAGACAATCTGACCAAAGTATTATCGGTGAAGATAGCTTAAGTTTGATTCCTGAAGATTCTTTAAAATCATGTGGAACTAGTAATACATTTCAGCTTTTGAAAAATCCAATAAATTTTACTGATCACAAGAAAGAGAAACTTGAAACCAATAATTCAGATCATAGCCGTAAGAAGAAACACAAACATAAAAAATCTAAAAAAAGAAAGGAAGTATACTTTGAGGGGGAAGAAGTACCTCATCTTGTTGGAATGGAACAATCTAAGCAGTCAACTGAGAAGGATGTGAATGAAATACATGCAGCACAGGATGATTATGTTCTTCAGAAATTATTTAAGAAATCGGGTGAGTTGAAAGAGTAGCAATTTGAATAGGACATATTTTGAATTGCATTTGCAAATGCATCTTAATTTAAGAATTCAGATAATTACAAAACTGCAGTGCATACTAAATCCTCAAAAATCTTATTACCTTTGTTTTTTAATCACAAACATGAATATTGCAAGATTTTCAAATTTGGAGACCATATTATATTTATAGGATTATTAAATCTTTTGATTTTGTTATATCATTTTGTGTATCTTGAATCTTATGAACATTTTCTTTTACTTTTCCTCGTAATATTGTAACTAACATTATTCTTTTCTGTGTAATGCTAGGGTTTGTAATGAAAAGCCATATTTATCTTTAAATGCTATAATAATGGCAAGCTTTTTATATAGATACATTTGAAATGATAGAAGTTTGCCTGTAATGATCACACAAAATTTAAAGATTTTTAATCACTATAAACCATTAATGCAATGCCAGGTTGATTTTTTTGATTGCTGTTACATTTTACATACAAACCCTTTGTGTGTTTTTTGTAAAACTGTTTATCTTGAATGGTGTATCTTCCAAAGTTTGAAGATTATTATTGAAATATTCAAATATGATGCATTACTTTAAGGATAGGAATTATAATAGCTAATCTGAACATTCCAGGCTTGCAGACTGTGTTAAAACATGACAAAATCATGGAAGGAGGCCCTGCAGATCATGCTTTGGTAGAAGGAGAAGCCCGTCGTGTGGCAAAAGAAGCCCTTCAAGCTTTGAGACGATCACGACAGCAATGTTTTGCTGCGGAGACGGGAAGGCCCTCATGGACTGGTCAAAGTGGAGTATTGAGATTGCCTGGCAGGTGAGAACTTAGGAATTTTCATACTTTGCACCTATTATGAATTATTGTTCTTTCTTTCCTAATGAAGTTGATTAAATGAAGCTGATCTAAGAAATCATTGTTGCACCTTTTCAACATCATAAACGTATTTGAAGTTGGTGGTGAATACTCTATTGATGCAAATTGAGCATGAAGAAGAATCCTTTAATAGTGGTTTCTAACTAGGAATTGTTAGAGAATTTAGTTTTTGTTGAAGTGAGAATATTGAGAGAAACTTGATCAAAGGAATTAAAATAATCAATTTTATTTGGTCCGATCAATCCCAAAGTTTTATCTGTTGAATAAAGAGATGTGTTAATGCCATTTTTTGCCTAGGTTACATCACACTTTTGTTTTGAACCACCACATTCACGATGTTGTAGCTCGATTGGATTTCACTAGTTGTTAATTTGCCATCCTTGTCAGTGAAGTATTCAGACTGGTCAGAAGTGTTATTGATGGGCTAAAGCAATTTTCTCAATGGCACAGAACCCTCTAACCCCATCACCAACAATGTTTCAAAAACAGCTTCCAAGATCCTCTACCTGCAAACCCTTTCTGTTTGATAAATTCATGGATCTGAGTTTTTTTATGGAAACTTTAATTTGCTATTTTCACTGTAACCGATGTTGAGAGTTCTATACAACACAATATTCCAGTGCTTAGTTATTATGTAAGTGGAACGGAACCAGTAACATCAATTCACTAAATCTTCAATTTGCTACATCCAATCAACTGTGTGTTGAACCATTCTTTGTGCTAGCGAGTTGAGCCTCAGAGTAACAGCTTTGTTGCGCTCTTCTGTCCTTAGCACATGTGCACTGCATGATCTTTTATGGGCTCTCTAAAGCAAATAGCAGATTTCAGTCCAATACTTTTGATGCTAGCCTTATACCTATTCTCAGGGTTGCGAGATTGGGGAATTTTGTCCCCGAAAAATGGAGATTTATTTTTGTTATGGGGAAAGAATGGAAATCATAAATGGGTGGGGATATGTTTGAGTAATTTTTTTTCCCTTCTGGGTCAAGATAGAAATATTATTCTCTCAGTTATGAATCAAAAGAAACAATAGACCCATTCTCTCTTATGTTTCTATTTCAAAAAGAAAAAAATAAATAACAGGCATAGATAAAGAAAAACCTGAGAAAAACAAAGATTTAGGACTTCGAGCAGCTCAAAGGATGATGATTGGTTGATTTGAATTATCTGAATATAAGGGGATAGCCAATGGAATCATCTGGGACACCTCATGTCCATAATTTGGAGAATATTTTGAGAGATTATTTGGAGAAATTCCATAGTTTTGATGTGGAAGGAGCTCACACGCATCTGGCAACCCTGCCTATTCTGTCTGTATCTTTGTAGTGAGATATTTTGGTATTGGGCATCATAAATGCATGGCAGAGAGGTTAGCTGATCCAATATTCTATTACTTGAGAGGTATTCCTTCTTTATTCATTCCAAGTTGGTGGCAACAAGGGTAGATTATGTAACTGGAAAAGCTGCTACTATTGCTTATCATGTAGAAACCACTATTGCCGTCATCACATGACTCTCAAATATCAAGCACAAAGATGTTTGGTATAGTGTACAGTAGGGGCAAGATTATTGTGTTGTAAGCCTAAATCTCAAGTTCAAATCCCAGCATAGCCAAATTGATGTTTTTTTCTTTGAACTTTTTAAAGAATATAGCACTATGTACTGAATTCAATCTCTTAAAGATAAATGTTCATTTAAACTTTTGAATGATTTTTTTTTTCCTTCTCCCCTCAAAACCTCTTGTGGTTCATGTAGTGTGGGTTTCTTCTAATGATGCTGATTTGTTAGGACAAGCTGTAATATAACCATTACCAGTCATAGGAATAAGTGTGTGCTGTTAGTTCTCCACTACTTTCATAAGGTAGCAAACATGCCCTTCTGAAAGATTCTGGCAATAGAAGTGGGAGAAACTTGAATTTGCAATTTTTTTCCTGAAATGTTCAAAATAATTCTTTTTCCTTATTTGCAGGCCAAGATTTTCACAGAAGAAATGCAAGCCAGGTTCACAGATTGAAAACAATGATCACCAGAAACCAATGTCTTCAAGTGATCTTCTGGCTCGGATGCGTCAAAGGCGAGTGTTGGCAGAAAGCACATCTAACAATGAGGAAGAGCAGGAAGAAATTGCTGTTGTAACTGCTGAAGTACCAGAACCTTCCACTCCATCCCTTATATTATCAAACCCAGTAGATTCTGAAGCCAATGTCGATCTTCTGAGAGATATTCGTAATTTCGTTGCATTTGGGGCAATAACTGATGGACGTGCTAGTACTAATGAAATAATTGAAAAATTTAGAGATCGGCTTCCGCCTTCTTCAACACCAATATTTAAGTTTTTATTAGAAGAAATATGTGATTTTTTTAGAATGCCTAGTGGGGAAGGGATGTGGAAATTACGTCCTGAATTTCAGTGGTAAAATATTATTTATATTGTATATATTGTACAAAAAAAACAACAACAGTTTGTAAAAGATATGCTAATAATCCTGGACAAAACACTTCATATGCATTTTAGTTTAGTTGCATTCTTGCAACAAAACTTAATTTATTTTATGCATTTTATAAATCCTCTGGTTTGCAACTTTACAAAGTAGGGTTTATTTACAACTTGTCAGTATTGCCCATACGGGTTTACATTTTTTTGTATATACATTATTACTGTTGGTATTTTGTGTGTTTTGTATTTGTAAGTTTGCTGTGGTTGTAAGTCCTATGGGACTTGTTGAAAATTCTCTTTGAAATAATAAAAGTGGTGTTAGGGTTTCTGTTCATCTATGAAATGTGTGCTCCTGAAATGCTTCCATGAAAATATCAAGAGGAGTCTTACTTCAGTTCATTGGATAAAGAATACAGTTTGGAGTTTTAGAGATCGTAATTGGATATTACATCAAATTGAACAATTTCAATATGGAAAAACGTTAGAAACAACTCATTTTCTTTCTGTTGCATGTTCATATGCTGTTCATGAACTCTCCAAATGAGTTCAGAATTTTGATGAGATTGTGAAACTTTTAAGAAGTAAATCATCTTTGTTTTTTCAAAGAAATTCCAAAGAAAGTCAGGTACACATTGAATTATTTTTCTAGTCATTATGTATATTTGTATATGATTCTTACCAATTTTCTGATTTAAAGTACTAATAAATCAGTTAAGAGATATTCCAGTCGGAGTATCAAAGTATCCAGTCATAAAGGGATTGGGGTTATATTTTCTGTTTGCAGGTTCAAATATTCTGTTTAGTTATATAGTTCAAATATATAATTTTATTTTATTTTATCCTAGATCTCTTTTTGAAAGTCGACCTTGTGCATCCAGCCTTTGTTATTTGTCAGTAAATTTTCCATTTTATATTGTGTGGGAATTTATAGAAGTATTTAGTATTTGCATTATGCATATAACACTTTAAACATTTTCTGAATTTTTTGTTATATTCTTCCGCTGTTTTGCTGGCCAATACTGCATTGAGGAAAAAATGGTGCATTTAATTTTTATATTCAATATTTCATGCCTACCTTTGTGAAAGATGGCTGAAGAAAGTTGTTTATTATTATGATTATTATTGAACTTAATAAGTGTTAAGAGAAAAATGTATTTCTGAATCTGTTGGAAAAACAAAATATTGTGATGTCCATATATTTGAGATATTTATTAGACACCAATGCTGAATAGACCTGGAAAGAGTAAGAGGGCCTAAAAATAATATAATAAATAATGCCGAAAAGTACATTCATAAATATGTTTTATCATCATTTATGACTGTGTTTTAATGTGATATTGTACTGAAGTGTATCAACAAATTGTCACTTGTCCATATTGCACCAAATATGTAACATTTTATATGTTTCTTAATAAAGAAGATATGTTGAACATATATCTATTTTATTCTTTTTCTAAACATTGGGGCTAATTAATCAAGTGATGCTACAAAGTGGTTCTGTTGTTCTCAGTTTCTTATTCTCTTCAGCCTCGATTTTTGTTTTTCCTCCACCCTGTTCCCAGCTGCAGTATGTATTAACCTCTTCAGTACCTTCTTGCTCCTTGGGGGACATTCCCATTCAGGAGCTTTAGTACTTTCCGAATATCGCATTTTATATATTTGCTCCAGCATGATGCTGTTGCGGATATTCTGAATGTGTCAGTTTCTCAATCCTACATGCCAAGTTGCTTGTCAGGACAAGACATACAAGGATTAAGAAATAATTGTCATACAGGAGGTACTGATAATGACCCACATGCTACCACAAACACAACGTAACATTCATGCTTCATGTAGATTTCGAACCCACAGCCTTAGTATCGATTCATTTGGGTTCAGCTGACTCGTGGAGAGAAATTTCTTGGCTACTATTTGTAAGCATGTTTTGGCCGTAAAAATAATACTTTGATAAAGCTAGTAGCGAGATGCAGCAACTTCTGTGATTTTGGAAGGTAATATGTAGTAAATACAAGAAAATTGTAAATTTGACCATAGAATTATTATGTACCCTAAGACGTTTTTTCAGAATTTATCATTAATTTTTTCACTTCAGTAATTAATCATATATGCAGAATACATTGGGACTATTCTTTCATTTTAGCCCATGATATATTTGTACAAAAACTGTCAAAAACATTAACCTGGTGATGCTTTTCGCTGCTGTAATAGAACACGGTTGCACGAGGTTAGCTTTCGAACTGGACTCTGAAGATGAATGTAAAAGACGCGTTCCTCACCTGAATTTTAACGCTATGACTATAAGGATAAACCATTCTGAATATAAATATCTCTAAATAGGATTTTGTTTCATTTTGGCCCGATTTTCGAGGTGGGGAATCACTATGCCTCAGCCCGAGAACAGCGCTCGTTTCCTCAGATTTCCGTCATGTTCACATAGATGTTGCCTTCCCGAAATTCCGAGCACTACTGAAAATTCGGGTTGTTGGTCGGAAAGTGTGTAGCCGAGGGTTCAATTTCGTTGTCCCTACGGTCGGTCCGACAAATTGTCCCGTGTGTAGAGGCCTTAGGTGGCGACGATTTACAAGTTTTATTCGAGGGGCGACTCGAGTCGTAAAATATCATAAATTATTTCCAACAAAGACTTCTTTCTCACAAAAGAAGTGCCTCTGGGACGCGGAGACGCGGTGCGTCTCAGTATCGACTATCGCAAAGTATCAGAGGAAGTATCTAGTAATTAATATTTTTTTACAATCGCAAAACCTTCAGTCTAAAAGCAGGCCCTCATTGATTTGGGCCTGCTCGCATTACAAGCCTTGCGGGCGCGATCGTTACGGCACTGGTGTTATAGGATGTAATTTACTACAGTGCTATTTTCTTAGTGTGCCGCGATCTTGGCAAATTCTACTTGGCCGACGGGCTCTCACTTGCCGGGGAACGGTGCGCTGAAGTTCCTTGGGAGCGCGCTGTTCGAGGTCTCGCCCTGCAAAAGACGCTTTCTAGTCTTGTTGAATAGTTGATATGTGATGACTCTCTCCAAGTTCACTCTCAAACTGAAAGTGAGTATATATGACATATATGTAAAATGTGTAAAAAACATTATTTGCATTGCATTCTTGCAAATGTTCACAATTCAAAAGCGTATTTACGGTCATTTTCAACAGGTCTCCGAAATCCCACACACTGTTTCATTTTCTTTAACAGTTTACATGCCGTTTGAAGAAAGAATTATCAGACGTGGTTTGTGGCATGCACTATCTCCTGATCTGACACTTGCAATTTCTTTCTTTGGGGATTCCTGAAAGATTGCATGTATGCGATGATGCACTTTTACCATGCGTGACTCCTGTTATTATTTTTTCTAATTTTATCATGCTTAAGCGTGTGGCATATGGTATAATTTTAACCGATTTCCGATAATATTTTTTTTAAAAAAAATGGATCTTTTGCTAAACATAGCTTTATTAATCAAAGTCGTGACAATGCCGTATACTGTAAAAACTGACTGAAGTTAAAGTATATAAATACGTGTACTTGAATTCAGTTACCAGTACTCTGAGCAAGTAGTAGGTCAATTGTGGCACATTTGTACATTTTATATAAGACAAATATGATTTTGATGTCTATAAAAAAATTCAGAATACAGTTTAAACGAAATATTATTCTTTTTATTTATTATTACTTGCAGTTTGAAAACAATTCTTTATTCAAAATAATCCATTATTTGAAGTATTATCGGAAGATATATAACGGATATAAACGAAAGCAAGACAAATTCTACTCGTTGATACAAAATGATTACAAAATTGAAATAAAATTATTAATTATTCAAAATATTAAATTATAAATATTTATAAACGTTACAAATCTTTCAACTCGTCCAGAAGGTAACACAATTCGAATAATTAGAGTCAACTGATCACTGTGAGAAAAATCGGGCGTTGAATCTAATGATATCGAATAATATTTATACTTCTTAATTTCAGTTATTATTTCATCTCGTAATTTGGAACCAATTAACTTGATGAATTCTTCACTCACATCTTTGGATAGATAGGAAGTATTTCCTTTCCCTTTATTTCCATATGTGTTCAAGTGTTGGGATAAGAAAGGCTCAAATCCAGCGATTAATTCCAGTATTCCTAAATAATTACCATTTTGTGAAGAACCGATTGTTTCATCACTGTCTCGAAGAGCAAGACCTCGTTCTGCCAAAAAATGTATGACCTCGACGACGCGTTGCAGAACGCGTTGCAGATTGTTTCTCTTTCTCAACAATTGCTGCGTCTATGCGTTCACCTTCAGAGAGTATTCACCTTTCTTCTTTCGGGCTAACAAGGCTTTTACGTTCTTGTTGTGTGAAACACTTTCTTCATTCAACATTAGATTACTACTCATCCAATCATCGAAGTCTTCTTTAATAAATGTAGATGAAGAATTATAGGAAGCAGCAATTTTGCAAGAAAAGCAAAACAAACTTTTTTCGGCGAGAGTCATTTTCTTTCCTGTTTTGTTCTCGTCAATTTATGAACCTTTGAAAAGTAAGATTTTTTTACAAAATTCATTTTATTTTCATCGTACCCCGACTGGAAAACGTTGAGCGTAAAGAGTAACAGCATCGTCAAGATTCCTGCCACTTTCTCCACAAATTAATTCAATTTTCAATTTTTCGATTTCAATTTTTTCTCGCAACGTTACAGCCGCCATCGTAACCAGAACAGCATTCAATAAAAATTACTAAGAAATGAAGGAATCTGACTCAAAAGGGACGATGCGCCGATTGAAAGTAGACCAAAAACAGAGGTAACCCTATTCATGAAGTCAAGGACGGTGCGTGGCGAATGGAAGCGGACTAAGAACTTAAAAAAAATAATGATGTGCTCCCAATCGTTGCAGACCATAAACTGAGAGCCGAAGTGCACGCAATGGAATAAGACAAAGGAGTAAAGATATGCAATTCAAAAAATGGTTGTTGGATCAACGCACATTGAGAGAATATTGTGAATTCTAATCGTTAGTTTTTTTTGTCCTGAAACAAAAACAATGCTTTCTTGCGACGTTTTAATAATGCGTACAAAAGACGCAATCGATTTCCGATAACATCATCTTGCAATGTTTGTTCACTTTTTTATGTTTAAAAACGTTACAAATTTTCAAAAACTTTTTTCGTTTTTTATTTTGGAATGTTTTAGCAAGAAGATCTTGGAAGAGTAATCCCTTTTTTAGCCCTATTCCATTCACTTTTGAATGTTATTAGCGATGTTATAGCAATTTGAAATTTGTTCCATTTGAAATTTAAAATTTACCCCTCCCCTGCTCTCTATCAGAGGTTGGAGTGCTCACTCTCATCAATACTAGATACGATTCTTACAAACACCATAATGTTTTTTCATCCCCTGGTGCAATTTCACCAGAATTACGAAAAATTGTGTTTTCTACGATTACAGCGCCATCTACTGGAAACCTAAAAAAATGTTTCAAACAAAATCTACGTATTTTTTTACGGAGAATCCGAATCCGCTATAAAAAAATAGGGGTTCCCATTTGAAATTCGCAAGTTGCCCTACCCCCATCCCCAGGGGGTGAAGGTAGCAGATACGGTTCTTAGTTTTCAAGATATTTAGTAGTCTCAAGATAAAAAAAAAATCACCCAACTAATATATATATATATATATATATATATATATATATATATATATATATATATATATATACATACATACATATATATTAGTGCAGCTTGTTAACAACTAATAATGTAGTGGAGTGCAGTCAACGGACTTAATTCCTCTCAAGCCTCCTCTCCTTCCTCCCAAGTATGAAAAAATGTATGCAATTTTGTCAACTATTTGTTTGCAATAAAATTGCAAAATAAAATATGATAAAAGTTTGAGCCTTTCTCTGAATTTCGCACATTTAAGTTTCAAAGGGAGATGTGAAAACTGATTCATTAAATAGGTTGAAAGTAGATGGGTTATATTGGGGCAGCTAATCTAATTATCTACCCACACTGTCAACTAACTGAATCTAATACATGCTTGAAGTCACTTTCCCACTCAAACTGGCCCACTGCCAACAATAACAACACGAGGAAAACTGTGAAGAGAAAAAATATTGGAATAGAGTTCTAAAATCTCATAGTTTGGAAAAATCCATGACGTTTTCATCCTATACTTTTCCCTAACAACTCATACACAATATTTCAACGTCAATGTGTTTGTAAACAAAATATCCAGGAGTCTGTGCCAGCACATTTTTGCCAATCACTATAAGAATGTCCAAAATGCAATGGTATATACTTCAGTTTTCTAATGTATCATTGGTTATATCAATATAACATCGCTCTGACGTCAATGACAAAGACAGAAAGCGTAATCAAGGAAAATTGATAGGGTTATTCGGTGCCAGAATGTCAGTATACGTGTCAATGGTGACATTTATTGGAGGGGC